GCTTGAGGGCTTGCTTTGTCGCCGACAGGCCTGCGTAATAGTTGCCCAGTGAGATCCTAAATGGGGACTGTGAGACAATCGTATTAGCAGTTGTATGAGGGGCCTCAGATCAGGTCGATTGAGTCGGGTGGGTTGAGAGCTCCTGCGTGGTGGGAAGAAGCCATTCGGAAATGGTAGCTACAGTATGACAGGTGAGGTTTAGCCCACGGTAATCATGAGGGAGAAGAGTTTTCTGGCTGGTGTGTGATTAGGTGAAGGGGTCGAAGAAAACGCTGAGGAGCAACGCAAATAGCAATTCTTTCCCCATGGGGTAACTCTGGGTGGGTGCTGAGGGTCAAGGTGGGGAGAGGGGGCACTCTTGTGTGCAGAAGCTGGCCCTCAGGACTCGCCAGAGGAAGATGATACAAGCACCCAGTAAAAACCGTCCAAGCAGCCTGCCATAAAGGGAAAGGCGCATGGGTGTCCAAGGCAGCCTGTAGCACAAAGCTGGACCTGGTTGCCAGGGTATTTGGCTGGGGTGGAAACTTAGGGAATTGGGCCTGAGAGTATCCAAGTCCTCAGATGTTCTTGACCGCGGTGGTGGCTGGGTTCATACACTGCATCAACCCGCCTTAGGAAGAAACGAGATAGTGCGGCTGACAGATTCTCTGAATCCCCGAGGTTGTCCCGCTTTCCTTTCCCCGCATTCCCTTCCGTCCTCCCGCTGTCTCCTCGACCCTGCAGTGATTAGAAACCCTTCTGGGTTTGCTGCAGCTTCCCATCACTTGTTTTGTTTCGAATAAATGCATCTGTCCCTGTCAGAAAACCTACACTGTTTTCAGAAGAACCAGCGTCTTGGCAGCTCGTCATCCAAGCTCTGAGCCCCTGCGAAAGGGCTGCCTCGCAGCGGTGGTTCCTCTTGGGAAGGCCCTTTTGGACAGCTACAGAGAGGAAGCAAAGAACCAAGCGCGGTTCTCCGCAGCCCCGTGGGGGCCACGCCATCGTGGCGTTGCTGCAGTGCCCCCCTCCCAGACACTGCCTTGGTAGACTCACCATTGCAGGTCCGCACACGAGTTCTCACACAAACGCATAGGCACAACACGCACAAGCATTTGCACGCTCTTTAAGAAAGACCGGAAAGGGGTAAGGGACGGGTGAGAGCCCCTCCGGTGTTCCTCATGGGCATTTTGAACGGACTGTCCAGAGCTGTCACGCTGGAGATCCCGGCCAGAGAATCTTCAACATGAAGGGAAATTCATGCAAGATTCAAGAGGTGGGGGCATCACAGACTATTCTAAGCTTTACTCTGCACCGCCGGTATGGCTTAAGAGTGATAATGGGCAGAACCAAATAACATAAAGCAAAACATAATGAACATCAGATCGAGATGGCCCAAAAGCAGCGACTCTGCCCCTTCATTCTGGAGCTGCCCCAAACATCCACGTTACAGATGACACCACCGTGCATTCTCCATCTTCTCTGAACGAGCGCTGCCCGTGTGGAGTGCCCGCAATGGGACATGGATGAGCAAGGAACAGCCCTGCTCCTATCTTGCCACACATTGGCATGTGCCCCTGTCGCCAGCTCAGTAGGTCGTCTCCAGCCAGAAGCTGCTTGAGTCCGCAGGCGCAGCTGCAACGGCAGTCAAGTTCCACTTCTTGGCGCACGGCGAATCGGCCCCCCCTTGAGTGGTTAAATCACCCCGGAGTGAACAAGTTCAGCACGAACCCGCACGGCTGAATTGAAGCCAGCCAGTGGCACGATGTGGTTGATGTGACCCCGCTCTGGGGAAGGCTTGTCAGTACCAGTGATGGGCACGGCAGGCCCAGAGGGTGGAATAGTTCTCTGTGAGCACCAAGGGTGGGGAGCGGGGTGGCTAAATATAACAGGGAACTGGAGGGCATGGGAAGGGATTGTGTTAGAAATGCCGTGTCTGGACAGATGGTTTGTGCAGGAGCATGGGAAGCAGGACTGGGAAGCATCCCTGAAGAACGACCAGGGGACCGAGCGTGCCGTGTGCCGATGCACCATGTACAGGCGCTATGCAATTGCAGTGTTTCTCTCCCTGCAGAGTAGAACCGATTTATTTCATGCCCAGCAGAGGCACTGGCTTGAAACGGCATTAAAGGGCCGTTTACAACGGCAAAGTGGTAATATGGTTTTGCTGGTTTGTGGGATGAACTGTGGCATGAGTTGGTGTTTGTCCTGAAGGTGCAGCAATCTGTCAGGGCTGGCAGCAAAGGTAGGCATGTTTGGGCATCTGGCTTGGGACTAGGGCCCAGCAGGGGCCCAGTCTTTAGAGCCCCTTGGCCTTGATGCTCCTTTTCACCATGGGAAGCCATCACTTGCTCTGGCCAAGAGCACTGCGGTACTGAGAAGGTGGAGAACTCCACTAAGCCATAAATAGCGGTATTGTTTTCTTATAAAGTAACCCGAATGGGTCATGTTTTTCCTAAGCCAAGTAAAATACATCCAGCACACACACAGATAGCAAGCCTCTTTTTTCACTCAGCCTCCAACTGCCCTCCCATCTGTTCCTGAGGCCTAGCGGCATGTTTCTCCCTCGGTTCAAATCCTGCAAAATCCACAGAGCAGTCCCAGCTCAGGAAAACATCAGAATTACCGTGAAAGGTCACCATCGGTACAGGCATTGTCTGACTTATGGACGACTGATGCTCACTGGCTTGGGTGAGAGAATGAGCAGCAGCCATACCTGGTGGGAATGGCAGCGGGAAGGTAGACATACTGCAATAGAGGCGGCAGCGTCAAGGGTCTCTTGCTCAAGGGCCCCCAGAATTGGGATCAGCCTTGCACCCAGCCCAGCTCTTACCACCTTCGGGCCTTCAAGGAATAACATCTCTGAGGAACAACTCACAGAATCCGTTTTGACTGTCTCCAAGGACTTCATTCCTGGAGTTTTCAGAAATTTCGGTGGCTTTACGTGAAGTTTCATTTAATTATGTAATTAATTTCCATATGCTGCCTCAGGAAGCTGTATTTCCATAACAAACACCTCTTCCCTGCAGGAAGGATGTTCAAAGGCGGCATGTGATCTTTGTGTCTGCCAGTACTGTAGACGGGCTCTGAGCAGGAGCTGCCACTATCCCATCTTCCAATTGCTATCTGAGAAGACTCAGGAATTGCTTGAAAATCTCTTTTTAAACCCCAAAGCAGGCAATGGCAGGCAGTAGCCAATCTAAAAGTAGGGATGGGGCAAAAGATTCATTTCAAAATCGTGTGTTTGAGAGTCTAAACACACACACACACACACATAGTTTATATATATATATGCATCTCCTCTTAATGGTGATGTCCCATATCTATATATCTGGGTGCCCTGATTTCTAGCAGCAGATAAATTATCTAAGCTACTCCTGTGATGGCAACTACTTTGAGCAGAAGAAAGGTTGGTATGTTCACACCTGATGGTTTGCCACTCAGTGTGTGAACTGCGGTGAAAAGCACTGTATTTGAGGCAGAATTACCGTTCAGGTTGGGATGCTGGACCTGTGTGCTCATTCCGACATGCGTGCCTTCACTTGGCATTGATGCAGACAAATGGGGAATTTCCACACGTGGACCAGCCCTTAGATGCCTGGGAAAGAACTGTCATCTTTTTGCATGGTCTGGCAGTTTTAAGTTTGTGGAAAAAGCTCCACTGAATAAATGGGAGCCGAGCTTGCTGGGGGTAGTGTAAAAATGATTCTCGAAGCCACAAGGGAAGATACGCAGGCTAGGTGTAACAAGTACCCATTTAATGAGCAAGAATCCCAACAGTGCCTGAAAAGCCCTAGGAAATGGGCGGTGTTGGTCAGCTGATGTTGCAAATGGCACCGCAAAAGATGCAGTCTTGTGTTGGCTGAACTGATTTTCTATTAGTTGCCCATTACAAAATCCATACAAGGAAGCGGTGGTCTCAAGTGGCCACCATGCAGTGGAGCACAATAATGAGAAGGCCTGCTTGAGATCTACTAATGCTTTGGGTAATGCCTCTTAGTGGAGGCATCCCATTTTCAACTTCCATTAAGGCAGTTTAACACTGCTTTCCCTTGGACGTTTCTCGGAAAACAAAGGCGAAACATGGATCAAAACGTGCAGCATGAAGGCATGGAGTGGGAAAAGGCTCCTTGTTCAAACGGAAGCTGAGCAACCCTCCAGGGCAGCAATACAAACTCATCTGGCCATTTGCGTCCTGAGTGGCAAACACCGGTGCTGACTCATGACAACTGAGAGCTCTTCGTGCACGGGAAGTGTTGGACTATTCTGAATGGGGCAGTCACCTGCCAGCTAATGCTCAAATCTGGGGACGATTCATCTGCCCAGCCTGCTGAACTCTTTACTGCCCCCCCACCCCGAACCCATTTCCCCAACTACCGTGTACCCTTGCACATAGGAAGGGCATCCCTACTTCTGCCAGGATGTGGGGCCAGAAGCAAATTCTCAGAAATTCAGTTTTCCTTTCCTGAACATTCCCTGCCCCCAACACACACACACATACTTAGACCGTGCTCTCTAAAGGCAGGAAGAAGAGCTGGGGAGCCAGCTCTCGGCTGTGATGTCTTTGAGCAGTGTATACTTTTAAGAGGTTCCACATGAGAAGATGTATCTATGTACTAAAAGCAAAAGAAAAATCTAGCTACGGAAATGCAGCAGGACCATCCACAGGATTACCAGTGCTTTGCATCAATGAGTGCCACAGTGGCACATGTTTGACTGACTTATATCCTGCCTTTTTCCTACAAAGGGCTCAAGGCAGCTTACATCATTCTCCTCCTCCATCTTATCCTCACAACAACAACCCGGTGAGGTAGGTTGGGCTGAGAGTCTGTGACTGGCCCAAAGTCACCCAGTTGGCTCCATGGCTGAGCGGGGACTCGAACCCAGGTCGTCTTAGTCCCAGTCCCATGCTCTTAACCACTGCACCTCACTGGCTCTCATATTCCAAATGGCTGTGCTGTATGGCAGGGATCTCTAGAAGTTTTAATCTGCAATTTGTGTCAGTAAAAGAACTCTAATATGCATCCTGGAAAAAACCCCTTTATTCACATATATAGTATAAAAAAGCATTTTTCCATGCAGCGCAATACCTCTTAACTTTTGGAATGGAAGTAATAAATACCCTTGTTCCTAGATTCAGGGATGACCTTGTAAAAACAGAGCCACAAAGGTGAGAGAAGCTGGTGCTGGGGCACACAAACCCACTACGCCATGAAAGAGGCCCATCCAAACAAAATCAAAAGTTTGGAAGCAGACTTCGGCAAACTGACTGGCCGTTGCCCCCCCCCCCCCCCGATAGTGTCCCAAAAACAGATCAGCGCCAACAGATGTACAAAATAGCCCATTTCTTCCCACAAATTCATGTCTTTGAGTATTCTAACTTCCAAAGTGTTCATACAGTTTGTGTGTCAACCAATTTAACCACTTTCCTTTGCAAGCTTCAGGTTTGCCTGGGAAGGCAACTGTGGTGCTTTTTGGAACTCCCACTACCTGTGGGAGATATTTGGTAGTGCTCTCTTAGCTCAGCACTGTCCTCTGGTCCAAGTTCTATTCCTGACAGTTTACTATAGCCTAGTTTGAGCTAGTTTGAGCCTTTACCTCCTATTCAAAAAGGCATCCAGAACAAGTCCTTATACTTTAGCAATGGGAGGAAAACTAAGAAACACAAAGAGAACAATTGTGAGAAAGTGAAATGATCTTCCCTACGTAAGCAGTGTGGTTTTGGAACCAACTTCTATATGCACAAACCAATATAAAGAAGAGCTAATTTAAATGAAAAGATGAGGGGAAAGCACTGTCGTTATACCCACACATTGTCTTGTGCATTGCGCTACTTGCTATAAAGGTAGCCAAGGGTTCCAAGTATGTTCATTCATATAAATACTTTCCTCAGTCAAGGATTTTAAAATTCAATTGAACAGGTGGTACATATTATGGAAACGATTTTTGTAGATTTCTTATTCACACGATACAGCTGTGTTTGGGCACAATCCAATGCAGAAGCAAAGTGTAACTGAACCAGCTGGGAGAGGCTGGGCGAGGGCCCAGTTCTATTGCTTGAACATGGTCCTGCTTGTCAGGGTGAGCTCAGGATCTGCTCACTATTAACGCAGATCAAACCTGCGTGAATTAGGCTGTACTATCTGAATGCCAGGACCCTTCCTGATGAGCTCATGTTCTGAATCCCCTTTCCAAATAAATAAAATCAGCACTGCCCAAGATCCTCTAGGGCAGAGGTGGGCTGCATGCAGTCGCTGCTGCGGATCCCGTTGCCCTTCCACTGTGGCAAAAAATTAATCAGTGGTCTCCCACTACAAAGCACTAAACAGATCAAATTCAGTGTGTTCTCCTGACCTAGTCGCTTTTCCATGGCACTTTGCCACTGAATTCCGGTGGCAAGTGACTGAATCCTTTTGCTTCTGCAGGGCAGTGGGAATGTGCAGTGGCGGTTTGACTGATGATGCAGACATAGTCCCGGCCTCCCCAGATTCCCTGCTCCTGTGCGAATGGCGGCTGCCGATGGATCCTCGCTGCGATGAACGGCAATCTTTACGTGCTTCCCAGGGCTAAGCAAAGCTCTCCTGTTAACTGACAATCGCCACGAGCCAATCAGGATTTCCAGTCCACTTAAAAATATTAATCACCGTGACAGAATCTGTATTGAACAAAATTATATGAAATACCACCACGGTTCTGCGGTCAGTGTGGTTTCGGAAAGCTGAGCAGCAAACGCGGAGACACATTTAACGCACAAACATGACGTGTGGCGTAAAGCCGCTGAAGGGCATCCTCTTCTCTGTCCTACACAGACCAGAGCAGGAATTACTGTGGATGTGCTGACAGATGTTTGTCACAGCTGCCAGAGGCAAAAGGAAAACGTTCCTATTACTGGAGCTGCAGCTTACGTCACAAATCCAAGAAACAGCAGTAAGCCCATGCCCTTTCAGAGGGACTGAAAGTCTCACAATCCGTATCACCGCTTTTCATCCTTGATTTTTGAAACAAATTCCACCAACTGAACTTCACTGTGGATTGACTGCATTCAGAGGGAAACACCTGCATCAGGGGTGGATCAGCTGCATGCATCACGCTTTCGTGTGTTCCCCACTTCTTAACCCTCTTTAGAGAGGCATAGGACAAACATACTCAATTTCTGCTAGCTGGCCAGGGTGGTGCCGCTGCTATGCAGTAAGGGGGACATGAAATTCGGGGTTGTCAAAAATTAAGGGCCTTCTTGGCGGGTTTGCTTCCTTGTCCGCTTTATGCAACAGCTTGAACAGTCCAGTTCCGATGTTCATTGGGATGCCCATGATGATGCACTCAGAAACACCTAGGGAAGATCAAGGGGAAGTTTATATTAAATGTTCATTTTGCCCACACTGTCTTGGCTGTAGACCTGTGTGTCATGGTCTTCAACATGCAGAGGCGCGGCGCCTGAAAAGACGACTTGTACGGACTGAAAAAACTGACCTAAAGCAATCATCATCTGCAAATCTACGTCATGAGCATTGGGGGAAATGGATTCTCTGTGGAGCAGCCACAATCACAGGACACTCTTCTTGCAGAGATTCCACAAAATCCAGTGGAAAAGTGCTGTCAAACGTGCTTCATGTCAGCATGAAGCCGCCTGGGTTAGGCTGCAAGTAACCCCAGTCCAGTCCATGTGTCCTCTGGAAGGCAGAGGCTCTCCAAAGCCTGTGGGGGAGGTTTTCCCCCAGCCAGGATTCCAGAAATTTTTTGGACTGGGGATACAATGGACTTAACCTAGTGGCCCACTTCCATGTAGACTACGCATTTCACCTCTCAGCTGAAGTCGTCTCCTGAGACAGGAGGCAATTAAGCGGAAGTACATTATAAAACCTTCACAATTTCATTATAAGAACACTACTATACAATTACAGAGCAGGCATAAAACCAATCAGCACCTAGCTTTCTTGCAAAAGAAAAGCCAAACTTGGACTGTACCATACCCAAGGGAATTTGGGATAGCAGTAAACAAAGACCCTGCTCCATTTTTCTTGAACTATCCTGGAATTTTAAATGATTTTGCTTATGTTATGCACGCTTGCAATTCATTTAAAGAGCTGTGTGTAGAGGCAGGCATCCCTCTCAGTTCAGCTACAAGCTAACCCAGGATACTTACCACACACCGAGTCCTTCTGCCCAAAGTATGCAGCGTCAAAGAGATGGTCCGCCGTCTTTTCGAACGAAGCAAGCATTAATACACTCTCCTTCATTTTCGCCAGGCCAAACCTCGTAATCCCCAAAACTTCACCCTGGTTTCCAAGCCGGGCAGACAATGAGGAAACAAAAGTCAGCAACGGTTCACACTGGCCAAAAGAAGGGATGGGGTGATCAGCAAGACATACGGGGCAGCATCCTGCTGTGTCCCAGTGCTAGCACCACAAATGCTGCACAGAACACATGGTCAGTTGCAGCCAAAAGGACATGCCGGAGCAGAGCACTTCCACCATCTGGAAAGGCATGTGACTAAGAGATGTGCAGGTTTGAAGCTGGCATCCCCTTCTTGTTCCCTTGGCCACAGCCAGCAAGCGGCACCCAGTTTCCTTTTCCAAGGCTAGGGACGAAATGGGCACAAGGAAGCGTGGTGGCATCTTGCTTTGGCTGGCAGGGATGAAGCCCTCCCTGTTCACCCGGGTGAGGAACAGGGGGCCCTGCAGAGCAGCAGCTGCTGCCAGAATACCAGCTCATAATCTCCTGTCTTTTGCAGGAAAGGCAGGAAGAAGCAGGGTGGGTACAATACTGGAGGGCCATTTTCCCGTCCCTGATTGTAGGTGTCAGGAAAGAGAAGAACCGAGAAGGAAAAAAGGGAGAAGGAAGCTGGCTGATGGATTGCTCCCAGGAAAGGGCTGAAACAACTGGGAGGGTCCTCTCCTAGAAAGCGCATCCTGTGTCCTTTTTCGCCCCACCTTGCCCTGGAAGTGGAACTAACATCTGCACTTACACTCTGCTGCATGAAGAGCTGTCCATACCGGGTGCTTTCATGCGCATGGGGGCTTCTGCCATGGGGGTGGGTGCTGTACGTGAACGGCACGTGCCGCTCAGCAGATTGTGGGAACCTCCAGAAGCAAACGGGGCCTCAGCTGACCATATAGGTGAGTTCTGGATACAGCCCGCCAGCAGCTAATTCTGAATTGGAGCTAATTCTGCTGTGTGGCACCCAGGGAGGGGTTCCAACCTTGCCTGCTCAACTCAAGCCTTACTGCAGGCTTCAGAGAAAGCAGAGCCACCGTCACTGGGCTCCCACTTCCAGGCTCTCTGCTACATGCCTGCCTGTGAAATGGAGGATGTTCACAGGGGCCCTGTTGAAATATTTCCACACAATTTCTTCAGCCACAGTTACTTGACAGGGAAGATGAGAGAGAGTGTGGTGACAACCAAGACAGTGAGGAAAGAGACAAAACAGACCTTGTAGGTCATCAGGTCGGACAGCAACATGACATGTCTCCGGTCAATGCTCATGCCGTGGTTCACCATTGTGTACTGAATTTCATTGATAATGGTAGTTCGAGCAGCCTCAATGCCCAAAGTCTTCTCAACCTGAAAGAGAAGGTTTTGGGGGCTTCACGAAGGGGCAAAACATTGATTTGGCTTGCACATGCCACTGTGGTTTCTTGAAGCAACTCCTTTCCCTGCGTCCCAGCCTTCATCAAACCTCTCCACTTAAAAATGGGGCTTGGCTTCTACTTGAAACGCTCTCATTCCCATTAGAAGCAAGTTTCATGTTTCTTCTTGATTCTGATGATTATCGTCCTGACCAGTGTTTGAAAAGCACTTCCTGTAAGTTCACTGATTCACTCTATCGTCTTACGTTAATCCTTAGAACAACTCTGTGAGGTAGGCATTGCAATCCACCTCCTGCAGAGGGGACAGTTCAGGCTGAAAGAGGGCAGCTTGCGTTAGGCCTCCTAGCAGGCTTGTGGATGAACCGAGGAGCTCCACACGCTCAGGCCTGTCTCTCGCTCAGCATCACACGCCACCCTCCCGATACCTCGTAAGTGTTGTTAGATGTGGTCCTTGTTCCTTTGACTCCATGTGTGGCTATGACAGCTCGCAGGTTGTCGCCCTCCACCAGCAGCTTGTACTTCTCCTTCCCGCTCTGTTCATCGATATGAATTACAGCGCGAGCCACTTCTGGGATCCCTTGCACAACCACCTTTGTGGTAGAAAGAAAAGAAAGATGTGTGCACAAAGAACAGAAACTATGGCACGCCTTACCTAAGTCAGAGCAACAGGATCATCTGTAATGTACGAAAATCCATCGTCTTTGCCCTTTTCACTTTCTCCTATAAGCTTGGGAGTCCCACACACACCACTAAGAATTTTTTCATGAGACCTCTGTGAAGGCAGTTTAGCCAGAAAGCTCAAGGAAAAGAAGCCCATAATGCTAGGATCACTCCCGGAAGGATTAAAACGCGATTCCTAACCAGGACAGGACCTGTGGCACTCCAGATCAGGTACAATGTGCCATGCTCCCCGCTGGCTTGCTCAGAGCCTCTTATAAATACGGCTGCACTTGAAGATGATTTGGAGGCTGCAATTAGCTCAGAATTCAGAGGCTAGAATTCTGACCGATGAGCTAGGTGAAGCGATAGTACATTCCCGGCTGCCTATTCACTTCCAAACTTAAAGCCCTAGATGGCTTGGGACCCAAACATCCCAGGGAGGAGCTCCTCCCATCCCATCCAGCCCACACATGGGAACTGAAGACCACCTTCAGCTATTATTAGCTGGTGCCACGTAATGCACATGTACAGAGGAGAAAATGGCTCCGCGGCTGTGCCACCGCTCTAGGAAACACTCCCTAAGAAAGTTGGACTGGCGCCAGCATGGCCACCTTTTCGGCACTGGTTCAAGATGTTATCTGCTCAGGCATTTAACATTCGTTAAGCTCAGGCTCTTGCCTTTGCTCAGCTTGGTAGCTTTATGGTTTTGTTAACTTTCAATCCCATTGTTATTCAAAGGCTGAGGCATTGTAATTATATCTTATATTAGTGGATGCCACCAGGGAATTTTAAAAATAAATACTAGATAATTCATTTTCACCCTGGTATGCAGTTTGGACAGCTGAGGTATATACAGGGGAACCAATCAGCCGCACAATCACGGACTGTGTTTAAGTCAAGATAGCAACCTGTACTTCAAATTAACACGCCACTAGTTTCATCAAACGGCCGCCACCTCCTCCTCTTTGTCCTGCTCCTCATTTTGCTACTGCCCCCCAGCCAAAGCATTCAACTTTCATCACCTGTGTGCAAACCCAGGTGAGGACCCTGGTGTTCACCCTCCAAGGCCCAACAGGCTTGGGACCTCTATAGGTCAGGGAGTGCTCCCTCCCATGCATCCTGCCTGTGCATTAGGACTTCACATGGACTTCGACTACCATTTCCCATCTCCCCCACCCCCCAGAACCCCTGCTTCCTCTGCTCACCCTTTCCATCCTGCGGCATACTCCTTCCCTCTACCCACCCCTTTGCTCAAGCTTCTCCCTGTTGCTTGGCTCCTTTGTGACATCATCACGGATCAGCCAGGTGGGCCACAGGCTTTGCTGCTGCCACAAAGCTGCTGTGGGTTGGATCCAGGTTCAATCAAGCATGAGACCCAATGAAATCAATGGTATTTTAAGTTCTGATGAATGTAGGTCCCATTCAATGGAATCCAAGAAGGTACTTATGCCATTACTGATTCTCTTGCACCCCACCAATTTCCGTCCACAAGGGACACCCAACACTTGAGAAACAGGCATTTAGGTACCCAGAAAAGAGAGTTTCTGGTAGCTACCCAGAAGAGGGCAAAACACACTCATTTCTGAAGTACGACAGGTCAGCAAAGCTTGCGCAGGGAAGGCCTGCTGACCAGTCCTCACAAAGAAGCAGGCATTTCCATTCAGTTCAAGGCTTCCTCTGGAAAGCACAGAATCTTTGCAGCACGAGGTCCCCCTTGTTTAAGATTATTAACTGGGTTCAAGATAATTAGCAGGGGCATAAATGCCCCAATAGATTCTGCCCACAGACTTCAACTGTCTACTTATGAATTTAACAAAGTCTGCAACCAGCCCATTATAATTAAGAGTGCCCCCCACCACCCCTACACACACACAAAATCTAAAACAAAACTTAAGCAAATTTGAGTGTTCCTCTTCAGGAGAAATACCCAAGAAATTAAGGGTCCCCTAAAAGGAATTTCAGCAAGGGCAGCAACTACCTAAAGCATCCACCTAACCAGCACAGCTCTAGTTCTGTGAGCTCATGTATAAAATATTTCAAGTTAGCAGCTATAGGATAATACCCTCTTCTATAAATATACATGCATTTTATTAGGTACAAAATTCCCAACTTTTTTTTAGCTACCAGGGGTTCTTCAGGTGAAGAAACAACCCAAACCAGTCAGAGAAGGAGGAAGGATAAGAAATGGCATGGCAGAATTTTAATTTAAAAGTTGTTCTTTTAGGAATATGCCTATACCTGTGAATACAACAAATGCTTTGCTTTGCTGCAAGAGCTCAAGCAGTTCCATTTGATGCCAACAGCACATATTTACAAAGCCTCACCTTTGGGAGTTCTTCTTTCAGGGACTGCAAGACATAGTACATGGAGCTCTTGCTGTTTTCTCGGGGAGTAACACAAACAACAGCTTCACCATGGACAGCAATGTCCCCCGGCTTCACTCTCAGCTTGGAGACACAAATAGAATACCGCACGGTCTCTGCGTTAACCTGTGGCCGAAAATATCACTTTGTTATTTGCATAATCCTTCTGATGCTAGGTCCAGTTCTGCAGGCAGGCAATTTCTATTCTACAAGGTACCCAAAATACTAGTTTGGCAAAATGCCTGCAGTGGATTATTTGACAGCCATCGGAGCACGTTATTCTATTCATAGGAGGGATGCTTGCGACTATCGGGGAGCCCCAGAAATAGTCCTGTCTGAAAATGTGACCACTGGGGCGACTAGGCACTTGAACCTCCTGCTCACAGAGACTAAGGGGGACTCAGATATTATTACAAGATGGTCCAAGTGACTCATGCACCGTTCTTACACATCCAGCTTACTAGCAGAAGAAATAAATAGTTCACTTCATCCCTCTGCTTACTCGTGCCTCAATTTCCCACCACCATCATCTGCAGATTAAATTCCATGTTGGAAGAAAGTAAAAATGCATGTTGCTTTGCAGCTGCTCACTTCTTCTATTGTGCAGTTTGGCTAGACTGAGAGAACGAGGTAGAGAGCCGAGCCGAGCCGAGCCGAGTCCGTCTCTGCCTCAAGACCACAGCGGCCGCAGCAGCCATGGGAGGGGTGGGGTTTCCAAGGAAATCAAACTGACCCGTCTTTGCATTTGAGAGAATCTTAGTCTTACATGGCCTAAAGAGAGACCACGGCAAACCACTCTAGCAGTTGCTTACTCACAGGAACATCAGGATTTTGTTGCGCTCATAATGTTTGCATGGCAGCTCTAAGTCAAAAATCTATGAGCTAAACTAGAGAATAATCACATGGTGAATTCAGCGTAGATGTGATCACACCCTGTCTGGAAAAAGTGGGCACACTCACCTCCAGCCTTAGCAGTCTAATCCGCTCTAAGGACAGCTTGACAAGAATAAAGCAGTCATCAGGAAGGAAAACTTCTTCAATGTACTCTGAAATCTGTAGGTCACAAAGCGCAGACAGAGAAATGAGTGCACAGGAAGGGATAATGCCTCCGCCTCGGCACAGAGCTGGACCTGCGGAGTGGATATTAAGCTGCAGGAAGGAGCAGAGTACCTCTCCGAGGAGCGTCTTCTCTATTCTTCCTTTGACCAACCGGGCGAAGTCCGAATCATCATCAACGTCAAGGTGGGCCGTGATGATTGGTGTGCTACACATAAACGGCAAAGGCACAGTTGTGAAATGTGTGCCGGGTCAGTATCTTTATGTACACCCAAAAAAAGTGCCCTTAGTACTCTCTGTGGTCCATATCGCAGCTCGGAACAAAGCATGGTAGAAGAGAACAACACATGCCGCCTACATGCTTTACATCTAAAAGAATATACGCTGCGTAACTATAATTCGGTCCCTGGGGTTAAGCTGCGGGCCACTGGAAATGGCCACTTTTCAGTAAGAAGCATCTGAAAGTTTTAAGTGTTACTCTCGGTCTATCTTGAAACCAGTAAGACATAGTGCAGCCCCTGGAGCTGCTGGGCAGCAAAACACTAGCATTGATTTTATGGCTCATTCCTTTAGTCATACAGCATAAAGCAAATTTACCTACAATGTTTTACGAGGCAATTTTATACATGCCGACTCAGAGGTCCCACTGAGTACACTAGGGGTACACTGCAGGGCAGACTTAACCTTTTGGATATTTATTTGTACTCCCATTTATGTGTTATTCATATCTCTTCCCTGCCCACCACAAAGGCTCTTCCAATCAGGTTAACAGTAAATAAAACTAAAGATTAGTCTTCCAAGTTGGAAACCTTGATCTGGTCGATCATTTTCCCTTGATTTCACCAGCCAACTTTGGGTTTATACATTTTAGCAGAATCAGCAAATCAACCCCCTTTTCTCTTCTCTTGCCACTTTAGGCACAAGCAGTAAATGGTTCTCGGTGACTCTGGCACAGTTATCTTGACACTGCTATCTGACTTTTAAAAGATAAAGCCTCCGTCTCTCAGAGAGAGTCCTGACAATCATCCCAACCCAATTTCCCCTTCTGCGACTAACTTGGCAATAAGTCTGGATAGAGGACCTGATTGACTTGGAGGCATTGATGATCTCTTTGATTCTTGGCACTCCGAGCGTGATGTTCATCGAGGCGACACCAGCAAAATGGAAGGTCTTCAGAGTCATCTGTGTGCCAGGCTCGCCGATGCTCTGCGCACAGAGCGCTCCCACTGCAGAGCCGGGCTCCATCTGTGCCCTAGGATGCAAAGCGAAGGAGGTGTTCACTGCTTCTGCATCTGCAATCCCACTTGGGTAGCTCACGGCTGAGCTGCCACAGAACACACAACTCCAAGGACCGAGACTCGCATTACTGGACAAAAAGCAAAAGGACTCAGTGCAGCACGGGGGAACTCTTAGTCTGCGGCGAAAACAGAAACTGCTCATCGAAGAGTGTAGTCAAGGCTGTGGCTATTTGGAATGAAAATCAAATGTGTGCACCAAGAGCTGCTGAATTCTGAGGACTGTGGACATTAATTGTGCACTGAAGTATATGCATAATTTTCTTCTTGTTCTGCATGATCCATTATGGTCGTTATTGGGATTTGGGTCCTGGTGAGGGCCCAAAAGCTCCACCTGCTGACTGCTGGAAATTTGTGAACTTATTCTGAGAATTCACCAAGCGTTGGCAACACACTTTCAAGGATAAGGGCCAGGAGCTTCAAGCCAAGCCAAGCTGAAAGAGACAGGAAATAAAACCCTGATTTTCCACTGGTGCTCTTGCAGAATCATCCACCCGCATGTGCATCTGCCTGAAGCAATCTCCTCATCAGCTTCAGTGGCTGGTGGCTCACAGGACAGTCCAGAGATATTTCCCAGGGAAGGGTATTCAAGCAGAGAGGCTCAGTTACAGATTTATTCTCCAGGATGACAACTTTTCAGTAAAGGTAACTGATAAGGTACATGGCTTATCGAGACTGCGACAGGGAACACTGCCAACTGACATGCCTGGGTATCCTTGTCTGAATGAAGGTATACTGAATCCATTGCTTGTGCAGACAGCTGGAGTCATTACCAGTATATCCTATCTTTTTTATTCAATACAGAGACTCCAGAAGACTAACCAATGGAGTATAAAATACAGGCGGGTCAAAAAGGACTGCTGACCCCCTGCCCTCTCCTGCAACAGAACTTGTTCCTTCTGCTCAGCTTGCAAAGGAAAGGCTGCTGAACCGGTTGTCTGCCAGAAAACACACATTGGTGAAAAGGTCTTTGATGCCCTTTCCCGCTCCCGCAAACCGCAGAAGGTGGAGCAAGCTTCGGGACACGTGGATCCCCATTCTCCCCTTCTGCTGCCCATGAACATCCATGTGTGCTGGGAGGCCAGGGCTCTGCTGAATCTACAGGAACCCCCTGCACATGGATTCTCTACTTGCAGCGCTTTAAAGCCTCCTCTGAGCTTTTCATATATCTGATCTACTGTGCGAACTGCCACGGCTAATGCAGAATACTGCACACCGGGGGTCCTCAAACTTTTTCACCGGGGGGCCAGCTGAAAGCTGCCGGTGCTGGGCGCGGCCTGGAAGGGTGGTGCCGGTGGTGCACATGGGCCGGGGCAGGGGTGGTGTGGGGCATGCGGGCATGTGCACTGAGGTGGGGCACAGGGCGAGGGGAGGCAAGGCAGGGGTGGGCACACACCGCGAGGCAGGCACACGAGACAGCGGCTTGCTCGCTTGGAGATGGTTTTCTCCGAGCGAGCAAACCGCTGCCTCCCTGTGCGTGGGGCGAGGTGAGCGGCAGCAGGTCCACATGGGCATGGCGGGCCGGATAAAGGGGCATGGCGGGCTGGATCCGGCCCCCCGGGCTGTAGTCTGAGGACCCATGCTGCACACAGTAGTAAAAAACCTCCTTTGTTATTGATGGCATCTACAATGAAAATAATTACAAAATGGGGATATAGGAAGAGATGGTCTATCAGGGTCTCCTTTGGAATTGCTCTATTCTGAAATGCTTTTGAAGGCTGCCTAGACAGAGTGGAATGATTTCAGTCCGTAAGAAAAATAAATCAGCCTTTTGATAACTACAGTACAGAGGACGTGCGTGCCAGGCGTACCCAGGATATAAACGGCGTGACACCCAAAGAGATGCCTTTCATAATAATATTAATGGGTTAATTTGGCAGAGGATGTTCAGCTGGGGTTCTTGCCAAAGGCGCCGGACCAGCCTCCGTGCAAATGCCCAAATAAGCACAGCATTCAGCAAGAGTGTCCTTTTCTTACACGAACAGCCAAGGAGGCCAGTATCAAAAAAAAAAGAAAAAAAAATCAACTTGTCCTCGCGTAGCACGTGGGGTAAAGTGGGACTCCAAGATGCGCAGAGTCATGTCAGCAATATGCTTTGCAAGAGACCTTACGCAAGAAGAAAACAGCAGAGCAGAGGACAGCTGTCACCCTGAGTTACATCCCAGCGAAATAATCCTACGGCATGCCATGGAACTTTTCTACAGACAAGCAACGCCACGCAGCAGCAGCCTCAGAACTAGCACTGTCCCCTTCCAGCACTTCTCTTAAAAACAGCCCCAGCGTTCCAAAATCCAGGGTCAGAATCAGGATAAGTGCTGTTTGGCAACCAGGGTAGCTTATTTCCCCCAACGCCAAAGTGGAACGCTTCAAATGAAAAAACCTCCCCCCCCCCCCCCCAAATCCATGATCCCCAGAAAAAGGGCCTTCCTCCTTATGTTTGGGTCTGATTTTACAGATAAGTATTTACACACCCCAAATTCAGAGTTTTTAAATGCCTCCACCAGCCTTGAGAGAGGATGCGGACGCTAAAATGAACACTGGAATGTTTCTACAGGTAGACCCTGAAAAGAAGCAAACAGTTCTCACTGGGGAGCAAACCCAAGATGAACAACTTTGACCTTTAATGTAATTGCAAATACTGGAGGTGGTTAACTAAGCCATTTTTATTATGCATATGTCCTTCTCCAAGAAGCTCAAACAGATCAATCTAAGTAGGCATTTCCCCAGAGGTCTCTCTTCAAGACATCAACCAGATCCAAGCTGCTTAGCTTCAACAAAGACGGTTGTATCATGAAGCTCAAAACATGCCCCTTTTCCACAGCTGTTTCTACACTGCTTCACTCTATGGTGTGAGTGCTGCTCTTTTTTTTTGCTGCTATTTTTACCCTGTCATGGGCTAAAAGTTGGGATAAAAATTTAAGAAAACCATAGACAAAGTCAGTTTCACCCTTTAGCAAGTGAAAGCAACATAATTACTATTAGAAAATATGAGTCCAATGCATTATACTGATATGTAATAGCAAAAATATATATGCTGCAGAAAAACATTACTTATATAAATTGCACATATAAACATAATCCCAATTCTGAGCTGAATCTGAAGTGACAAGATTTCCGAATTATCTCTTGTTTCGTTATTTCATCAGCAGCACCTAAAGAAGCCTTCTCATGGAAAGCAGCTGAAAATAGTGCCCTGGACACTTTCAAAGACTTGGTATCATTCAGAATATCTAAATCAGGTATAAAAATTTAAAATATTTATTTCATTCATATGCCACCCAAGGCTTGGTCAGCAAAAGGACATGGCGGATATGAATCCGTTGATTCCCCTGATCACTTGGCAACTTTCAGCATCACATACCATGAAATCCTTCACGGACAACTGAGCTCACACTCGGAGAGGGAGGGATCACGCGTCACTTCTGTTTGGATGGCCAACTCCGACAGATGATGCTTGGGCATCCTGCTCAGCCCTGTGAATTCTCCAGTATGGGGTGCTACAGTGGCATTTTTGTCCCCCATACAGCTTAACAACCACATGAAGTAACTAAGCGGGATAATCTGGCGTTTTGGCACACGCTGCCAACAGTATGCCGAGCCATTTTTCAGGTTTATCTGGTGAAGTTATGAATGTGCGAAATCAGTGTCTGGCAGCAACAGAAGTCTGGATTAGTGGGTGACTGGATTGTGTGCGTTCGTCCCGTTCTGGGCAGGGCCATATCTGGATCACATCCTCCTGAAGGAGCAGCTTTGTAATTTGTGGGTTTTCTTGGAGTCATCATTGTCACATGAGGCTCACATGTGTATTTGAGGTTTTATGCTAATTGTTACCATGTTGTGAAACATCGGGATAGCTCTCCTAATTGGGCAATATGGAAAATGAATGAATGAATGAGAAACAATTGGCTCGCACACTTCCTGGTCTATTATTATTATTAGTGACACTGCCATAGTTGAAGAAGCTGAGTCACAGTATAATTTGCAAATTTTAAATCTCCTTTTTTATCCATTGATTCTAACTTGGGTCATTCTGAATTTACCATGACTTGATGAAAGGCAATAAGCACTGTAAGAAGCAAAGCTAGTTACACCCGTTCTCTATAATGCGAAGTTTAATAGCTATTTTAAAATCAATTCAAGCAGTCAATGTAACTTTTAAAAAAATAAACGGTCTTAAAGTCCATTGAACAACTGTGGTGTTACCCATTACCCTGTAGTATTACAAATAAATCCTAGGGCTTGAATTTATACTTTGCTTGGGTAAAGCACCAAAATGTGAGCTTCTCATATATATAAAAATGGCATGTACAAAAAATTACTAGATTTTAAGGTTTAGGGAATAGCAAGTATATGAGGTATTGAAATTATGTACAAGAGGAGAAAAACCATTTCCTAATACATTTTGGTGAAAATGTTCACAGGTTTATTGCCATGAATGTTATAACAGTTCAGAGCCATTTTTATTCTTGTTTTTCATTCAGTAACATTATCACAGATGCTTGGGAGAAAAGATAAACTTTGGTTCCAAGTTACTTTCACTTTCACTGATAGGTTCTTAATTTCTGCCTAAGAAAGACAACGGTCATTTTGACTATTTGAAACGGCTGTATCAATTCAAAGCAGGTTCATTAAAACAAAAAACATACCTCATATATTTCTCTCTGCAGACCTCCAGAAACTTCTCCAACTGGGTTGGAGTAATCCGGTCCAACTGGTACAAAACATACGGCTAAAGTGATAAAGAATCAAAACTATTAGGCATGTGTTCAGTAGCCCAGACTAGCAGCAGTGCGTTCTCACCACACGCCGTGCAAGGTGGATGCATATTTGTGTACGTACTCTGTCTGTGCACAGCCCCAAACAAAATGGCACATGGCCCTCAAGGACAAAAGTCTGCCTACCCATTCCTTGAATTTCTGCTGTTTTAATCAGAGACAGAATTCTCTGAAAACTGGATGCTGACACAAAATTACATATTGTCAAGATACATAAATCTGCAGACATTGTAACTGGTTGTGTCCATAGGAAGATTCCTTGAGACCTGGATACTTTTACTGGTGGGGTGCAAACTACACAGAGCTGTAGCATTTCTGATTACATTGGGTCCATTCCCCCTATTTTCCAGAGCCAGCCTGTGTTTCCTGGTACCTGCGACCCCCGAAAAATCACTGTACCATTTTTGTATTTTGACAAGTTGTCAGGAATGCCTTAAAAAAAAAAACAACCCTGCCTGTGTTCATATCAAGCACTTGAATCCTTGAGCTTCCAGTTCCTTCCCTCAGGTCCTGAAAAAGCCAAAATCATTGGAGAGCTTGCATCTAATGCATATGCCAGTTCCTTGTTATGCCAGTGCTGAGCACAGACACATATATTATGCACATCTGCAGTAAAGAAGATGAGGGAGAGAACGCCGTGCTGCCTCCCCCATAACCAAGAAAGTAAACGCTGCTGACTCTAGCGCTCCGAGGGCTTTCAAAGACGATCTCCACACAAGTGGAACGTGAGCCGTAGCCCATGCGATGCAGAGCCCGCTACCCTGGCAGCCTCAGGTACAGCGCAAGGGTCCTCCGGAACAAGTCTCCCTTCCCGCAGCAATGCTCAGGCTGCACACACAGGCAGGAGTGGGGACGTGTAATCAGGCCCATTAGATCAGGGGCGGGACTACATGGCAAGGCCCCGCTTTTTGAGCATCTGGACAGGGCTGCGGTTCAAGCTGCAACTGCTCCATGGCAAGTGCAAGAGGGCTGGCTTGGAGACTGGATTTCCTCCTCCTCCCTTTCAACCAAATGAGTGTCCCATTCCCAAACCACCATTTGAGAAGCTGGTGTAGGGCAGGTTCCTACAGCAACGTGCAATGCGGGTAGGGTCAGGATGGAGAGTCCTCCGACAATGGACCCTGAGTGAGAGCAAAGGTGAGCTGCAGGTAAACAAGAACAAACCCCCCTATTTCCATACGATAAAGGGCACGCAACCTCTGTAGATGCTAAGAAGCAGATTACCTCTGTTGTGCCGTTGTCATTAATGCCGTACTTGTCCCTGGTTTTTTTAATCTTTTCAGACATGTTCTTGATGAATTTTTTAATTTCCTGCAACAAAGAATATATACTTTAGAACCGGGCCTTATGTGAGCGGTGTAACCTTACAGTTAAAGACACCATTAGCTTACACATCTGGCAGCATCCGACACTAGTTAAAAGAAGTAGAGATTGGCAAGAGTACCTCAGAAATGCATTTCATGCTACAATAGCCAGCTTCACACAGTTTCGGGGAAGAAAGTTAAATGCAAGCTTGAAATAACTACACGCCAAGCAGAAGTAAAATGACTATGGCTGTTCTTTCCACGTGCACAAAGTTCAGTGGTGGTAAAAGAAAGCTGAAGAGAAAAACCTTCCAACCAAATGCAGCTTGGGAGCCATCCAATAAGATTGCTTTGATGGTAGATTTCGGACACATACAGCACATTATCTAGGGAATTCTCTTTCACGAGAAGTTGTGATGGCCATTACCTTAGACAGTTCTGAAATGGGATTAGAGGGGGCTGTCAGTGGCACCTGGTGATGGTGGCCATGTGTGGCCTGGAGATTCTCAGGCAGCATGCACCGAAAGCGGCTGCAGGGGAGCCACAACACGAAAGTACGGCCACCTTCACATCCCCCTTGTGCGCTTCCCAGAGGCACCTGACTGGCCACTGCATGGACCATGATGCTCGACTAGATGGGCCTTTGGTCAGAGGCTTTACAGACAATCTGGATGATCAGGCATCTCCTTTTCAAGGAGGTCTGTTCTATCACAACCATCATTATGGCCATTTTTGCGTTAGTCAGGCAAAACAGACACCAAAACACTAAAAAACCCAGGAGCTTGGCATTTATAAAACCAAAGCAGCAGTAAATTCTGGTGTTAACACAGCTCTCATGAAAGCTCGTTCAACGCGATACTGCAGGGATTATATTTACTCTTACACTCTTAGAATAAATAGCTTGCAAATCCAGTGTGAGCAACATGAAGGGCCTCCATGGACAGATTAACACACCATTGAGGCTGCAGTGCAAGTGGCTCCCATTTTCAATATTTCCTGTGAGTGTGGGTTATTCAGGGCTCAAACAATCCTTACATAACCTGAGAACAGCTCATGGGTTATGTGACGGTTGCTTATCCTGTACTTGATCCACATTCCCTGGGTTTGCATGACATGATTGGCTATGGCAAGGGCTGCTTGTGGGCACTGCAGCCTGTTATTTCCTGTCCTGTCCTGCCCTGTCCTTCAAACCGGGCCAGTGTTGAAGGAATGAGCACTGCAAAGTTTATCAAAGTAAGAAGATGACTAAGGAGCATCGCATGGCTCCATTGTTCAGAAGATCAGCCTACTAGTCAGCATTTAAATTAGTCCCTCAAGGGCTACAGCTAGAAGCAAAATCACTACGCAGCTTGCAGAATAAACCGGGCTGACATCAGACACTCCAATCCCCTTCAACATGTGGGTCCAAAAATTTACAACGCACGAACAACTGCTAAGGAATTGTTTAGTGAGGTCCATATAACACAGGCAATACACACTCATGCCATGTTTATGCCATGTGAAATCTTCTGCTACTTGCATTACTAAAAGGCAGTTAGGTAGGTAAGAGCAATCCAAAAGCAACAGCTGAGAGATCATTTAAAGGGCAGGGGAGGGGAGGGAACTCAAGCAGTCAGGGTTGGAGAAAAAGACGTCATTATTTGCCTCAATTTAAGTTAACCACTGCACAAAGTGATCAACACTGGGAAACATATAAAGAACAAAGCAGAGCACCAGGGTGGCAATTGCTGTTCACCTCTGCTCTGTTTATATGCTTACTGGAGCTGTTACTCAGTGGGTGGCAAAGAGGAGAGCCTCAACTTCTGAGACTTCATTCCCTACTCCTGCTTTTATGGGTCAGGAAAGGTGAGAATCATGCAAAAGGGAAACTGCCCTCTTGAAAAGCACACATCTCCGTGTCTGGTACTGCCTTCTCCTTGGATCACCTCACCAGAGCCAACAAGCTCTCTGCCCACAAAGGCTAATGGAATCACACAGAGTGGTCTCACAATAGGATGCCCACCAACATTCCGTCCATTTAGCTGTCTCAGGAGGACCTGGCTGGAAAGCGCGCTGACCGAGAGATGTATGTGCATCCCGCCCGCTGATACTGGAAGCCAAGAGGGATTTCTGCGGTGGCTGAGCCCGAAACCTGGTCCAAGCCACTGGCTGGATTGAACCAGTGACCCACGACCTCAGGAGCTAGGTGATAAGCCTTGCGCATCACCTCTTGGGGCTCTCCTATCAGTCATCTGACACCATGAAGCATCTATGCTCGCTCCTAGGCAACTGAGCCACTGTTGTGCAGTAAGGGAGCTTTCTCCAGTGGGTCACAGAGCCATCCTCCTCTGGAGCAGCGGGTGCCCAGCACCACGTGGTCCCTGTTGTAGAATCAAGGAGCATCTGACGAGGCCACCGGGCATAAGTGAAACTGAAAGGGGGTGTCTTGTGCAGGCAGCACATGTGGCTGCAAGCAAATGTGGGGAGTCTCTGGTGGGTGGGCAACAGTGCTCAAGTCTGTGGAGGTCACTACCAATTTGGGATATGTTTCTAGAATGATTTCACCTCTTTCACAGACATGTCTTCAGCCTCTGGAGTCCAGAATGGCCCCAAATATCCCTGGCAAAGCTGAGATGGGTTTGATTTCCCTGAAATCCTCCAGGTTTGATGGCTATTCCAAGTTTTAAAAAAAATTCCCCAGATTCTACAGTCTTGCAGATGTGATTAACCTGTCTTAGGCAATTTGGTCAACTTCAGGGCATGCTCTCATGGCTAAATAATTAGAAGAACAAGTCATTAAAAGCCAAGGTCAGGATTTCAACAACTAGGAAACTGAGAGTAAGGCTAGGTTTCATGAAGCACTGATGTCCCATCATACAGGGTCAGAATAGGGCAGAACTGGCATTAAAAGCCTGGGTTGGGCAGCCCTTTCTCCTAATGAAATTAAACTATCCTTTTGACCAGAAGGAAGAGCCGTCCCATGCGCTGAGGCTGCTCTCTGGATATGGAAAGGGAACAAGATGCTGGCATGAAGCACTGAACCCGCACGGGCAATCTGTGTGGTTAAGAGGAAGTGTGCACACCCGCACTGCGTGAACCGAGCTCCACCTAAATGAACAGCTCAGCCAGGGACTACAAAGGGTTCTTGTTCAGCAGCACCACCATTTTAAAGGACTACACACAGCACAAACACAACATGCTGCAATTACCTCATTATACCTGGCATAACCTGTTTCAGTTAAGGCCTTCAGCAATGGACAGGGAAAACAAAGTAATTTTTTGCTGTTATTGAAATAAACCCAATATTCCTAAATACAAAGCACAACAGGCACAGTCTTTAAAGCAACCCTCTTCTCTTGTGCATCAACAATACGCTAGATATAAACACTAAAGTAACAGAATGTTGGCTTATCCTTAAAGGATTATACGGCCGCAAAAATGATGATCTGAGAACCTTATCAGTGCTAAATTGGCAAATATAAGCAATTCCCCAGCAGTTAGTGCACCAGTGAGGGGAGAATCTGTTTTACTTCAAAATCTGCCTGTTAAATGACTGAGATGGTGCAAATCACATAGAAGAGTTTTTGTGTTGTGAGAATGATCGTTCTTTTTATGAAGGAAGCAGGATTTTGTGAAAAGGGAATCTAAGCAATGGCATCACCTGTAGGAAGCTGTCCTGGCAGCAAAGGAATTCACTCTTCTTCATGATGGATTCAGCAGTTAGCACCAATTCGTTTTTGCTAAGCGCTGGCTCACTTCTGCTTGGATACACAGCCTTAAGCAAGGAAGAAGCGTACCAGTAAATTACACAAGCATTTTGCATTTCATTTCTTCAGACAATTCAATATGTCAGCCCATGTCTTATGACTGCTACACTTTATGGCAAAAAGGGATCCACAGGTAGCACAGTCTTAAAAACAGTCTTCACCATTAGACAAGTTCTTTACCGTAGTCTTAAAAACAGTGCAGGATCTTTAAGAGCACTGTCACAGATCCAGCTCTGTTGGATCGAGAATTCAGTGGCACATTTAATCTGCAGATGGCAAAATAATGACTGCAAGGAAAACCAAGGTCAGGATTTCCTTCAGGTCTCTTAGAACATACTGAAAGTGCTACCAGTTGGAGGCGGGACCCTATACCTACCCTGATGTTATCCAGGACCCGCTTGAACTCCAGAGGTTCATCTTTCCCTTCCATGGCTGCAGGATCTAAACCATCGCCGCCATAAATGAACTGGATGATGTCACCAGTCGAACTCCTGACAGTCAAGTCGTATTGTGAGCACAGATCTTCTAGAGACTTGACCAATCGTCTCTGTTGGGGAAATAACCTCCTTAGGATCTTTATATTTATGCAGTCTGCAAAGCCTTATGAAACGTGGACCCTGGCCAAACCACACATTCACTGCATGACCTCCGTGAGTAATTCCTACAATGGGATATCCAAGGAGGTGTGTATTCGTTTGCACAGCGGCACTGTGAGGGCCCATACATGGCTGGAAATGACGGCATGAATTTGATCTGCAGTGCATGATACAACCAATGGGAAGCATTCCAGAGCAGACCAGGAAATATAATGACAAAAGCATCCCTCAATTTGTGTCTTTCAAGTGAACATTCCAAACACTTCACCGATGCTGCAAACCTAAAGATGGCAAGAGCAATACGGATGGGCTTCTACCAGCTTGGTAAATCGGGAGACAAATCTCTATCAAGGTCCCAGTGCATGTTTGATTAGCTTCGCTGTGAAATGCACCACATGCCACATTTGCAAGCAGTGGTGGTCTCTAGAAGGGGATAACATGGAACAGAGATAGATTTTGAAGTATAATGACTTCAGAATAAGGGGGAAAAGAATTTTCTGGAGAAGTTTAGCCCTCTCAGCTCCTTTCCCAAGCGACTTTTAGGAGAAGACAGTGAGAACTCATATGAAACAGCCTCATGCAGGCCTGAAAATGGCCACTAGGCTGGTTGGCTGAAACAAAGGAAGAGACCAGGCAGAACCAGTCTGTGAAATGGTCTCTTTCCTTCAGGACACCAATAGCCCACACACGGCAAGCATTGGTGAATATCGCCTGACAGTAGAATACATTTCTACTGCTTTGCATGGCTGCCCTCTTCATGCTAGAAATATTATTAAGAAGTAAATGGAAGAGCCACCATTTCCCCCTCTACCCTAACATGAGTCTAATGGTTCTTCCATTTCGTATTTCTCCTCTCGCCACCCTCAAAACTGGAACTAGAGCAAGGTGGGGGCAATAGTGGGAAGAGAATGCTAGTTATTTTCTAAACACAAACAGCAAACTTTTAATTTAATGGAGAATCACTGTTCATGATTTCTGCTACACAATGTTTGTACTAACCCACAGGTTAAGTGCCCCCCCATTACCTGCATATATCCCGTTTCGGCTGTTTTTACAGCTGTATCAACAAGGCCTTCACGACCAGCCATGGTGTGGAAGAAAAATTCAGTGGGTGTCAAGCCAGAATAGAAGCTGTTGGCAACAAAACCTTTCGCTGCAGGAAGCTGCGAGAAAGAAAGTCTTCTGAAATATGCTGCACTTCAAGAACTGCATTCGCAACCAGTGTGCTGAATGGGTCAGAATGCGCGGTTAAGACTGGGGAGAGGCAGGTGCAAATCCCCAGTCATTAAATGGGCAGGCTGATTCTGGGCCAGGCACTGCATCTCAACTACACAACCTCACGCGCACTGCCTGTACCCTCAGGAAGAAAGGGTGAACACGAAAGCAGGAACGCAGGCATGGTCAGAACACTCGCTGCATGCAGGGTTTGTAAGCCAGCAGCCTCGCCAGAGTGGCTCTGCCTTATGGATTCTTCAGGAAGTGCCATATAAAGATAAAATGCTGGGCCACAGAGGGGAAAATGTGTGAGCACGAGCTCTACTAGTATCAGGGAGGAGAAGAGGCAACGACATGATTAACCTTTACACACAACAAATGTGGCGAAAGCAAAACAATACTGATTTCCAATACAGCTCAGCTGGGCTGATCACAGAGGCTCTTGCTGAAGCAGCAGCCTAATAAACTGCAAGTCTTCTCCTGACCCTGTAACCATAGGCCTGTTCCCAATATTTAAGGCCAGTACTTACTCATTTCTTCCTTATCCCAAGCTAACTTAATCCTCTACTTCCTGGTGGATTCTCAGGAAGCCCAAGGCCTGGTGCATGTAGCTCCTGCTGGGCATCTGGCCCCGTGCAAACAGAATGCAGGACTAGGCAAGTCTTCAGTCGATCCGCAGAGCTTCTCACATTCGGATGAGAAAGACCACAGCCCTGGCAGCCTGCTGATCATGCGCCTAGGAAGTAAGACTCCTACGTGCTACAATGTGGTCTAAAGAAACAGGCTCATCTTCTGCATTCAGATTGATCTGCTGAGCCTCAGATGTTGCAGTTCTGACAGCAACCCTATGGAGTAGGTCAGTGGTGCCATTCTCACTGCACAGATGGGGAAGTCAGACTACTCATTCTCAGCCACCGTGCCACACCAGGAGAACCATCTTTGCTCCACGTTACATTCACGCCCAGCTCTGCACATACTGCAATTCACTCCAGCTCTGCTGAAATGAAACACTCGTTACCTTGGAATGCTTCTCAAAATGAGGCAGCGACCGGTTCTCAAATCCATCGGGCACACGTGACCCACTGATAGCCTGCTGTCCCACACAAGCAATCATCTGGGAGATGTTAATGAAGGAGCCTACAAGGGAAAGAAAGTGCCGCCATCAAACACAGACAGCCAAAAGGTAAGTCTATCCTTATCTCTTCTCTCACTGCAACTTGCTGTTAGGGGTTTCTCCTATTGTAGGCTCTGCCTGCCAACTTTCAAAGGACACTGTGGAGAACTGGCATGCCATTCGTGAATGATATGGGGTTTGCATTCATGAGGAATCCGTGCAAAACCATTGGGAACCCATTGCCAATTCAAAAAGGAAATTGAGACTTTCGAAATGGAATCCTTCACAGATTAGATAGTTCATGGGGAATGACCGGTTGCAATGTACCATTGCGTGGTAAGACTTGCGAGGGGCAAAAGATGACAAAATGCCCACTCCACGTATACACAAGTGTCCACCACACTGGGGCCACTACAGAGTACTGAATGGAAAGCGAGCTGAGCAGCACAATGTAAAATGAAGACAACACGTGTGCTCTTCACAGCTTTGTTAACGTTTGGCGTTCTAGGCAAAGAAATGGACACCTTATCTGATGGCAACAGCTCATTAACCGAAGTGCCAATAACCTTACCTTTTGAACCGCAAAGCGCCATAATGAGAGGGCTGTTGCTCTTGTCTAGTTCCCTAAGGCAGGCACTGCCAGCATGGTCTCTGATCACAGACAGCTCTTTCAGAATCAGCGCCTGGGAGGAAGACTAGCAATTAATAATGGAGAGTAACAGATAGTCCCCTTGGCAGCATACTCTGCAAAGCTGCCCTTGCATCCCTAGGATTCCAACCACAAAGCCAAGGTTGTGCTGGACAGTTCTCCTGGGAAAGAAGTCCATACATGTGCTGCTTGATCAGGGAGGCAAGGCCTGTTTTCCAAACCCAAAACAGCCACTGTGCTTGTTCTGGTGGAGGGGCAGGGAAAGCAGAGGTGCCTAAACCCAACTCTGCATCTTTCTTTAGGCACAGTCTTCTGCAGGCTGGGAAGAAAATCTGTTGAACTTCTCTGGATGGGAAAGCGAGAGCTCATTTCCAGTGGCTCCATCACAGGATAACACTCTGCCAAGTGAGAACCTTAATGGCCACGTTCGCCCCTTGCAGGGCTGACACCCTTTCAAAATGCCAAGCAGCCACTGATGCACAACCTCACCTCTGGGTGCCACAGACTCATTGCTCACAATACCCTCTTCCGATGGCACTGCACACACCTCTAGTGTCTCCTCTGCGGTACAGCCTGGCTGTTGCTGCAGCTTGCCAGTCTTCAGAGCCTCGATGTACTCATCGCATTTCTTATAGCCGGCATTCAAAAGTTCATGTTTTGCCTTCAGCAGCCCCTGTCCAGGTGTTACGTCACCAATTCCAATTGAAAATCCACGATTCGCTAAACAAAAGGCAAAAACATCAACTGGATGGGTGGAAAGCCATACCTGAGATTATGTTCCGGTGATAAGAATCTAACCCTGGTTGCAAAAGTAGAAATAATTATTTTTTCTGTAATTAACAAACCTAGCTTAAATTCATTTTCAGTACATTGACTTGCTGGGCTCTGCTGCATTTAATTAATTAATTAATTAGACGTATAGCCCACCTTTTTCCTTACCAAAACCTCAAAGTGCCTTGCATCCTTTGCCTCCTGGTGCTCTCAACCTTATCCCCACAACAACCCTGTGAGGTAGGCTGGGCTGAGCGGCTGTGCCTGTCCCAAAGTCACCCACTTGGCTCCATGGCCGAGCGGGGCCTAGAACCCAGATTGACGGAGTCCCAGTCCCAGGCTCTTAACCACGACGCCACACTGGTGGTCTCTGTTTACTGCATGCCCTCTTCATTCCTTTTTGGATAATATACATATAACAGTATACCTGTTATTGGTGCCACAGAGAATGTAATTATAGATTTGTTACAGGAATGTACTGGAATTACTAGGAATGAATAACAACTATCTCATATTTCAATCCTGAGTGGCAATGAACTTTTGCGTTTTAAATTTTCTTTTAGAGTGTTGATGTCCTGGGCAGTGTATACTCCTCAGGGTACATGAAGGAGGCGATTGCGAACGGGACTGCTGTTTTTCCAGCACTTACAAAGGTAGACCGGAGCAAGCCTGGCTAGTCGGGACATGGCATCCGCCGCTTCCACTTGACCCCAGTCTCGCAGTAAAATGTAGAAGATGTTATTCTTGGATCCAGACCCCAAGGTCCCCTTGTCCATGCTGCCAGTCATCAGCTCGCTGTTGTGGATTGTGACATCTGAAAGACAGAGCTGCTCATGATGGCAAATGAGCCTCGCCAAACAACACTGGCTCTAGCTCTCTCTCCTTCCTGCAGGAAGGGATGTGCAGGATAGAAAGTTCCCCTGTAGGACCTGCCATCTCACGTATTTATTTATTTATTCATTTAATTGAGATGCCATCCCACTACCCATAGGGTCTTTCCGTGTAAGCTGTCATACATGGGACAGTTATGGTTAGGAGAACCCTGGATATGCTAGTGTCCTATGGAAGGGATTTTTCGTGGTGGCGCCACTTGCGCAACTGAATGACCTCCTTAACCTCCTAGTAGACCAATGCTCCAATACAGCCCAAAAAACAAGGCCGTGGAAAGCACAGGAACTCCAGGCATAAGATGGGGGGAAATGCAAATGCTTTTCCTTATTTTGTGACCACCTAAGTCCATCAGGTTATTATCAGCAGCATCAAGTTCTCAATCATGACCACAGACCATGGGAATGTTTAATGATCTATCCAAATTACAACAGTAAATACAGAGGATAAATCAAAGAGAAAAAATAATTGCACTTAGAAAGTGGGATCCTTGTTGGACTGCATTTAAAGTTATGGTCCTCTAGTGCAGAAAGAGCTCTCTGCTTGTTCTGTGATGTCCAGGACTGCACAACTAAATTTAGCTTTGCTAATTTAATAGACAAGGAGGACAGGGCTGTCTCTTTATTCAAGATGCATCTGCAAGACGAAAGCATCTTTCTGCCTGGGGTCTATGGCATCCTTCACAGGAGTTTCCGCCTCAGCAACAAGCAACCTTGACCTACAGGTATCCACACCATACTTGGGTCCATCTGCTTTTGGCAGTAAGGCGTATTTCAGCCAGAACTTCATAGGTATTTTGTGCAACCAAAAGTAACCAAGACTCTCTTCCAGGACCACATGCTGTAAGCAGCAAAGGTTTGTTTAACTTCTTATTTAAACTCCATTCTTGTTCATAAAATAATTTGGGCAGGCATTTGAAAGTTTGATTCAGACTGAGGAGGAAAATGGGGAACTGCTTGGGAAAAGCTATATTTTGCAGCCCTAGAGATTTTTAAGGAGGAAGTCTGGCACATTCCATGCGCACAGCAGTGCATGAAAACTAGGTACCACCTAGTTTTCCATGTCCAGAAAGAGTTTCAATGGGCCTTCCACATCCAGAAAGCTGTTTTGCTGAACACTTTCATATACTGTGAGCCACCCCGAGGCTTGGTTGTGATGGGGGCGGCATAGAAATGTTTTAAATAAATAATAAATAAATAAAATACTGCCCAGATTTCCCCAAGTTCCCTTTTTTCATCTACCATGAAGCCTGTGGCCTAGCACTGATCTTGAGAAGAAATCAAAGATGAGGCATGCCACCCCCCTCTTTTGTTTCCTTCCCTTCTCTCACAATTTAGACAGTAAACTCTTTGGGGAAAGAACCTGCCTTTTCGACTGGGATTTATTTAAAGGGACTGTAAAAAGGTGGAGCACACCTGTTGAGTCAGACAAAAGGTGCATATTGCCCAATGCTGTGTTTCCAACAGTGGGTAGCCAGTTCATCCTGGAAGGGTCAACCAAATCTAGCCATCAGAAGTATCCTGTTTCTGAGCCTGCATGTTCCAGTCGTCTCCCATGACCAATCGCTTGTCACTGACCCATCTTCCATTGATTGTGCTAGCCTCCTTTTACAGCCACCCAAGCCAAATGCCAGCACCCTGTCTTTGCAGCAGTAAATTCCATCAGTTATGTACACTAGCATACTTTCCTTTACCTCTCCTAATTCTTTTTTTTAAAGTAAGTTTTATTGCTATTTTTGACTAACTACAAAACAAGAAACTAAAATCATCTATCATCAGAAACATCAGACCTACTGGGTCAGCCCCCCGTACTTTTTTTTTATATGGTAATCCATAAACATATTTAAGTCTATGAATAGTCCCATTTCTCTAGCCAATAATAAAAAGAATTCCAAATTTGATAGAAGTCTGTATCCTCTTTCTCCTTCAGAGACAGCCTCTCCTAATTCTCAATCTGTCCAAAATAAAACTACCACTTCAAAAGGTTCTTTGAAGATGCCTGCACTTTTATAACAAGACTGCCACGTCAACAACACGCTTAATAACCCCCATGAGCAAATCAGGATGCTAAACATTACTGGTGCCAAGACTGCGACTGCCCAAAGAGCCGCCTCCACTTACAGGAATCGTTGCTGCACAGGTCTTCTCCCTTGCCACAGTACTGCTTGCCCTTGGTTCGGAGATTGGCCTTGACCGGACAACTATCACTGGGCTTTAGGATGATACTGAAGACCTGTTTCCCTGTCCATAGGGTCACAGGCTGAAAGAGAACGCAGAGAGAGGGGTGGGGGGAGAGGCCTATGAACACAAGCAGAGCAGTCACAACCAAAGCTAGGAAGTTCGAACGTACAATATTGGGCTTTACTGTCAGGAAGGGAGGAGCAACGTGGCCCTCCAGATGTTGTTGGAGAGCAACTCTCACTGGTGAGGGATGACAGGAGCTGCCAGCCTGCAAGGTCTGGAGGACCTGAGATTGTCCACTCCTGCTCTAAGAACTCCCACCCACTCTTCTAATCCCTTCCATTTATTTGGGCAGAAGGAGCAATGTATCCACAGTAGAACAACAAAGCACAGTGGTTTGTGGTTAATAAGACACTGCTTTTATCTCAGCTGGGTTCAGACAACACGATACCCCAAAATCATGGCACCATGACAAGTCACACTGGACCCGAGTGTGGGTTCCTGTGTCGCATGGTCTGAACTCAGCCGGTAAGATCTACTCTGTTCCACATCCATACAACAGGGAAAAAAAAGTTATTAGTGACTAATTTCAAGCATTCTTTCAGTCTGCCTGACACACCTCATACCTTCAGAATTGCCGGAGGTGGAAGATGAACTTTAATTTTTTCATCCTTGCCAACCAGGATAGACGCGATAATCTGACAGGCTTTCGCTCGGTCAAAGAAAGTGTCTTTCAGTGTGAGGAGATAGGCACCTAAAATGAACACGTGTAAGAGAAGAGGTACTGAAGAACACATACAGCACACCAGCTGTGAAAGCAGTACATAATGAAATATTATGTACCTTACACATCTGTTTAACAAAAATCAGTTCTTCACAGTTGCACTTTAGAAGATAAATGGAAGGAAATCAGAACAAGGAGGCAAATGGATCAACCGGTTTGGGCACGTTCCCTTGAGAGACCACAAGAATGTACCAGAAGCAATCACTTTTAAGGTCAGATCTTCATTCTATGGTTGACACAGTCCTGCAGTCCATATAGTGCTCATCCTAGGCAAACATTGATCCCATCACACCTGTAATGAACATTCAAGCAGCCACGGTCTGCCCCATCTGCTACTCAGGTGTAGAAGAACCTCATCTATGACACAACTTTTTTCTTGTTTTAGGAGGAATAGTTCCAAGGAAGTTCCAGGCCAAAGATGACCTACCATCACCATACAGAAGAAGTCCTTTGAAAAAGTCAATCTGTCTGACTCTGTCTCCGTCTCTCTCTCTCTCACACACACACGCAAATATGCACAGAGAGAGAGAGAGTAAAATGAATTCAGATACAAACCTGTAAGGAAATCCTGAATCGCAGCAATAAGGGGCTCTCCATTTCTTGGTGTCACCAAATTTGCTTTTGTCTAGATGAAGGAAAATATTTTACAGTCAATCAGTACAGTAGCTGGTTTCCTAACACGACTCTTCGCTATTATTATAGGTAGTGACCGCATTTTTGCTGTAACAAGCTGTAAGGCAAGGAGGTTTCTTCTCTCCTAATTCACATATGCCACAAAGGCAATTTTCAACTACATCGAGCATGATGACCTATTAACGCACTTCTTCCTACAATCCGCTGTGATACTCTCCCAATGCTGCCTCCTCTGCTCAGAAAGCTGAAAGGTGAACGCGTTGCAAAAGGCCACGCCAAAGCACAGACCCAGCTCGATGCCACGATGGGCAATTCTTGAAGATTACAGTCAGCAGAGGAGACTAAGCAGCAGCCCCCGATGCGCCCCTTGCATCAGTAAGTGGTGGAAAAAGTGGCTTGCTCACCCCCATTAAAACAAGGGCTTCAGCTTTTGCTTCTTCAGTTTGAGGAAGATGAAGATTCATCTCGTCACCATCAAAATCAGCATTGTACGGTGTACAGACACATTCATTGAATCTGAAAGTCCGGTGGGGTTTCACTCTCGCCTGAAGAACATTACGAATCAAGAAAAGAAATCAAACAAGACATCCCAGGATTTCAGAGTATGTCATCTCTATTTTTGGGGATGCATTCCTCTTTGTGTCAAATGGCAACCTTTTTTCAATTGTTCCAGACACCGACAGAGGCTTGAGATGACATCTTCTTATTGGTACTTCAAGATTTGTAGCACCATATGCCAAAACCTTACCCAGCTGCTAGGCAGCTGAGATGTGGTGCCATTAAGATATCTGGGCTCATATGCGCTGCACGGTGCTTGGTGCAGGAAAAGTCTAGTGAACAGTTAGTGTACGCACTATCTTGGATCTTCCTTCACATGCTGCAGACTGAGGTGTAAGAATATAGTGTACCACTTAAGAACATAAGAATATCAGAAGAGCCATGCACAGCGGGATGGGATGGATGCCACTGAACCCCCTGCACTAATTTTATACATGCAGGAGGCTGTTTTTGGAGCATGCATTTTTAAACCTGAGACACATTTAAAGAAATCGCTTCTCTCTTCTCTGCAGTCTGAAGCAGCACAAATGTACTTCATACAGCTGCAAATATTCCTCCAGTTTTAATCAGGCATATTCCCGATTCTCCAGCATGGAGTTCCTCACGGGTCTGTTCTGTCCCCAGTGCAATTCAACATCTACATGAAATCCCTAAGTGGGGTCATCTGGGGGTTTGCAGTGACAACACACAGTTCAAACATTCCTTCTCATCATCAGCAGGTGAAGCTGTGGATGTGCTAAAGCGGCGCATATTTACTGGGTTTTTGTGAGCTGTGTAGCTGTATAAAGTGAATGCATACATAATGCCATCATTGCAATTTCGTTCGTTCACGTGAACACAGGTGGGGCCTGACTTCTGCTCTTTTTACAGAAGGAGAGTTGCACAGAGGGGGCCTTCCATGAGAAGAACTCTTCTTCTCTGAACAGAGCAAGAAACTAAGCTCCAAGTCAGTGTCATTGCCAACTTGGCTACTGTCCTGTTTAGACTTGTCTGGGCCAATGGTAGGTAGTCACACAGCAGAGAACAGCAGTGCAAAATGCGGTGTCCATGGGTACCAATGTACTGTCTTTTTTGGTGCCTGCCAAAATACACACACACTTACTGGCAGCTAAGGCCACTGTGAAACAGTGTTTTGTTAGTCCTGAAAATCAGCTCCAGAGGAGTTTGTTAGGGCTCAGCCTCCAGCGCTGCCTCATACATGGTCTTTTGGGCAGGCTACCTGTGCTTTACCATGCCTCCCACTGCAGCTGTTTTGTGCTGGAGGCTATGAGAGAGTCTCTGGTTACCGAGTGTACTCACAGCCCCCAGAAGCTTCTAATCATGCTACGGAACCTGTGGAATAGCCACCCAAACTGGGCAGGAGAGTCTCGCGAATCAAGGAATGGACAAGCTCCCTGGGAAGTCTTACTATGTGAGCCATGATGCTGAGCTTGTGCAAGGAAGGCTGCCGGTTGAACAGGACTATGTCCCCATCGATGAGGTGCCTCTCAACAATGTCCCCATATTTTAGCTCCTGGGCCATCTTCTCACGGTTTCCGTATTTCAAAAACCTGCAAGGGAATGGAGAAAGAGAAAGAAAACCTAGCAAGGGAAAGGCAAAATCTCAAAGGAAATTATTGTTAGCCCTTTCTAACAAAGAGCCTATCCATTTAGAACTATACTTGTGCCTTCACAGGACTGCTCAACCTCATCACTGATTCTCTGGCAAAATAATATAATAACTGATGGCTTTTCCATTCCATTTTAGAGCATGAAAGCAGCTCATAAAGTTACAGTTCTTTGCTTCGCTCCAGGCAGAGAGGACCAGACTGTGCAAATGGACATTGTATATGCAGTTCCCTTCCACAGTCCAGCTACTGATGTCATGCACATGGGACTTTTAGAAAAACTCCCAGTAATTTACCAGGGTCAAGAAATCCCAAAACTCTTAAGGCTTTTTATATAAATAAAGCACACTTTGAAGAAAAAAAAATACTCGCCTCTGGATCAGCTGTCACCAACCTGGTGCCTTTCAGGTGTTTTGAATGCAAATGCTCACCCTGCCCAGGCAGCAGGGGCGATGGCTAGGAACAGCAGTTCTTGTCCAAGGCACCTGGAGGGCACCAGTTGGGAAGGCTAGTCGAATGCCCAGTGCTTTGACACATACCTGCCCTCCGTCCGAAGAGCCATTCTCTCCTGTTAACAAAGCGGGGATGTCTCTCTTTTAAGGAAGTGCTGCCCCACCACAAATTTTCTTACATTAAACATGATTCACTTGGGAAAAGATACCCAACCAGCCAGGGATGCCGTTTAGGTGGATTAAAACATTTCCTCAGTTCAGCCTGAGTAATTATGCTGATCAAGAGGAGGAGGGCTGGATTAGCCTTCCCCTCAACATGCACTCTTGCCAAAGAGCGGCTCAGTGCAATTCCCTCCTTTGAAGAGAAACACACGTGCACCACCCCAGCAGCTGGTTCAGAACACTAGTTTCAAAAGTTATACTGATTGCTTTCCAAAACATACATACTAAAAGTGAGTTCTCGATAAATACTCAGTACTCTCTTAAACTAGAAATTAACTCCCTGAGTCAGAGGAGGTCCAGAAAGCTGCTAGGAAGAGGCTACTTCAAATACAGTACAAGGCCGGACCTTTTCATTTGTGTGTGCCTCTGCTGAATGAAGTTGGCTCCTGGATGAATCTCCGGACCGTTCCGAACAAGCTTCCTCATGAAATCGATGTTAGCTTTGTTCACCTGCAAAAGGGGTGTTCCAGTTAAAAGCAAAGCTCTCCCAATGAAATCCTAAGCAACTCGCCAGACGGATAAATCCCCCCTGCACAAAAAGCAGGGCCTGACTAAAGGGTATCTTTGGTTCCCGCACTGGTTCTCCCTGACTTGGGCAAAGCTTGGGAGCTGCTCTTGAGGGCTTCATGCACTGACGGTCTGGGAACAAGCAAGGCAAGCGGTTGCACCACACAGGAATCAAGAGAAGACTTTGCTCGCTCTAATTACCTTCTCAGGAAATGTTAGTATTTTTGCAACATGAACAGGTACAGCCACTTCATCAATCCGTAAGTTTGGGTCAGGCGAGATAACTGTTCTGCCAGAGAAGTCCACTCGTTTTCCAGACAAGTTTCCTCTAAATCGACCTGGGGGGGGGGGGGACACCACCCAAAAATGTTAAAATCAGACATAGAAAAACCGGCTGCTTTTCCAAAGAGCTAGTATGAAGGAGACATGATGACTAAGGTGCCATCATGCTTTCAGCTGTGAGGCAATACAGATCACCCGGAAGCCTACCTTGCTTCCCCTTCAGCCTCTGCACGAAGCCTCTGGTCCACTTCTTGGGGGCCATGTTGAGAGGAATGCCAGAGAGTTCACTGTTAATGTACAGCGCGCACTGCAACTGCAGGAAGTCCCAGTCCTCCATGATCATCTGAGTCTTGGCTCCTGAGATTCTATGCTGATTGCATCAGAGAAAGCAAGAGACCAAGTTTCACAGTTTTAGAGAACATGATGGTGTTCCTGCAAGAATTTGGAATCAAACTGCTCTCAAAACATCTTAACATGCAAACTAAGCAAGAAAACTCTAGCATAGCAACCATTCTGGAGCAAGAATTATGTGAATTTGAACTCGCAGTATCTCTATTCAGGTAACATGCTTGAATCAGAAGCTGAGCCTGGCCCATTTCTAAGTAAATAAAGGGAAAGGGGAGCTCACCTTTTTGATCACATCATTGAGGAAAATTATTTCTGTCAGCTTCATTGTTAGGTCATCCTCATTGGTGCCAGATTTCAGGTCACTTACTACAGAGGGCCGAATGCACAATGGGGGAACCAAGAGTCGTGTTAGGATCAAGTCGGACGGCTTGCCCGATTCAGGATTCATCAAAAGCAGCGGAATATCTTCTGCAGGAATCCTTTTTAAGAGATTCAAAACCACCAAGGGATTCAAGTTCTCCTGGTGGGATCCCAAAGATTACAATCACATGTTAATACTGGAAGACAGGAAACCTCCTTTATGGCTACAAATCAATACTGCCTCCCGCCCATTTCCCGGTTGCTTTCAAGCAGCAAGGGGGAGTAGGATGTTAAGACAGCTTGTCCGCCACTCAAATATTTAGGATCACAGTGTAAGAAACCCTAGATACGTACCCTGGGATACATACCCTGGATCGTGCATCAGACACTACAGCATGTATTAGCTAAAAGCACATTAAAATACCAATACCAGTGTTTCTCAAATTTCATGAAATTCACTTTTTTAGTGATTGGGCACCCCAAACCCAGAACCCCCACCGGGCATCTTTGCTCAGTTCTGGCATCTGCTACAATACTTCCTTCCTCGCCCGATTCCCCACCCCCAAAGCAGTGTTCCCAGCACCCGGCCTCTGCTGCCTCCCGTGCCACTTCTTTCCAGTTCCTCGCCATCCGCACACAGCATACAATTCCTCTCCAGCTTGAAGTAATAATTCACGGCAGCCCTCCCTTTTAACAACTGCAATTCGGTCCAGCTGCTGACTCGATTATGAGTGTGTGTTTACAAAGGCGGATATACCTCTTTGAAGGGCTCGGGTGCAATAGAGCATGGGAACAGAAGAACAACGGTGGAGGATCAGACCAAGGGCCCATTAGCCCAGAATGTTGCTTGCAGACTGGCCAAACGCCCACGGGAAACCCGCAAGCAGGGCACGAGCAACGTAGCTCATGTTCCCCCAGCAGCTGGCATACCTCTGCTGATCTGGGAGATAGTATCTACCCATCGTGACTAAAGGTCATCCATAGCTTTGTCCGCCTTCAATCTGTCTGATTCTTTTTTAAAGCTGCCCAGGTTAGTGCCTATCGTTACATCTTATGGTAATGAACATTATAGCCTCACTATGTACTATGCGAGGTTGTACGTCCTTTTGGCTGTCCTGAATCTCCCACTGTACAACTTTATATCACCATCACCACCACCATCTAATTTCTATTCCACTCAACAGTTGAAGCTCTCTAGGCTGTTTACAACACCACATAAATATACAATATAAAATGCAGACAGCATCAAAAACATAAAAAGTTTACCTTCAAAAGCTTACAACTAAATTTAAAACATGTAAGAAGATACAACAGCTTAAACAACTTAAGTTGGACGACCTGTTTAAAGCAACCAAAAAGCCCAGTAAAATAATTAAATGTCCTGTGACTGAGCACACGCTTAACCCGAAAGGATATTCGGGTTGGCCCCAGACCTTAGCTGAAAACTTGTTCTGTTACTGGGGTGGGCGGGGGGTGTGACGGGGGGACTGAAAAGGCTCTTCTCTTGGTCGGCACCAGATTTCTCACTTACCTGGGCTTTTCCTAGTAAGGGTTCAATTTCCTTATTATGTTCAATAGCAGTGTCAAAAGAGTGTATGAAGTGAGACACAACGGGATCCACAATCTTCTTAGTGGTCTTGTATTTCTCATGGATTATTTTTAGTAAGCCACATTTCTTTACAGTTCCTACAAGGAGACAGATGTAGAATCAAATACACAATTTAGTAAAAAGAAAAACAGAAAAGATCATCAGGAATAGAGAGCATTACAGGAAAGATACAAGGACCATGCACCAGTGGTGGAAATATGGAGGTGTATGCTGTTGCTAAGAACATTCAATCCAAATTTGGGCTTTTTTCCTGGCATAACAAGTATCAATTATAAAATATTTAGCAAGAAATTTTAAATTTAGGGTAACTGTCACACCACAGATTCCCAAAACAAACAAAAAACTCAGGACTCTGTACACACAAATACCAATAAAAACTGCTGTCTTGGAGCCTAGAGTCTACTGAAATGTGACAGCTCTCTGATGCCTGAGGTCTTTGTTATGCCCTGCTAGCCAATTTTTAATTATTTTTTAAGGAGATATGAACACAGAACCTCCTGCCAGCAGAACCATGCTTCCCACAATTAAGCTACAGCCTCTCCCCATTGTAGCCTCTCACAACACAGTCAAAATAATGCTGTCATTTTGTTACAGTTTTAATATCTTGTTCTTAGCAGGCTAAGAATGCACTCTTACTCTAAATAAAACCAGTACATGCAGCTCTCTATTGTAACCTAGGGCAGGCAGATAGCGGTGCTTGAAGAAAGGGTGGGAGAGAATACTCGGACTGACGATCTGTAAAAGGAGACCGTGACCGTGAAAAGCAAACAGGACGACGTGATGTCTTCCCAGTGTTTTTCCAGAGGACACTGTGGGGCAATCTGCAAGGAGCATGAAGCTTGAAAGGGACACATTTTACCCACAGCTAGCCTTGCGCTGGGCTGCTGCTCGGGAGACATGCTGTACCGCATGCACACGGCTCCGTTAGCTGGCCTGCAAGGTCCCAGGCTTTAGTGCCGAGGGGGCCAAAGCAGCCACGCTTTGAGTGTCCTGCACTTACCGTTAGAAGCCCCGCAGTAAGGGCAAGTGCTTTTCTTCCTGCACTTTTCGGAGATCCTTTTCTTCAGACCTCGTTTCTGGAGATAGGTCAAGCCAGGTCTCTTCAGATAATCCAGGAACTGCTTCTGTTCTTCACAGGTCAGCAAGATACGGCAACAGGTCTTGCAAACCATCTTCAAGAGAAGCAGGACATCTTTGAAATCATGATTAACAGATGACCAATACACCTCTTAAAAAATGGAACTTTCACACTACGCAATGGACCAGCCTCCTCGGGCTACATGAGCTGGGCTTCCTGTTCGCCATTTGCAGGCCTCTGTGCCTATGAAATATAACGAATCTATGGGAACAGCAGAAGCGCCAAATCTGCATTTTCTAGCTGCAAAAATGCAGGTGACATTGCCTGATGCAGTGGCTTTGGAGCTGGCCAGACTGTATACCGCTAGCTGCTCACCGCAGTCTTCACAGACACTCATCTGAGCTGCCATGCCTTTTATTTCCATTATCCAGGGTGTATCTGGATACTTGAATACATGCTCGCATGGGGAAGAATGCTGGGGGGGGGGGGTGTAATTTGACGATGGGCTTAGCTTTTGGAGAGCACCATCAGCAGAAAACAGTAAGGAGGATTCTTGAGAGAATAACGTGTTGTCTCTATATGAAGACGTCTTTATATTAAAAGTTACTCTTCTTATGCTGCTGGAATAAAGGAGTGTTTTAGAAGGGCCTTCTTTGTTAGGAGGGCTTGGCTTGGGGTTGGGAAGATTTGGCCATGTTAGATTTAGAAATGCAGTGCACTTCAGTGGGGACCGTGGTGAATGTTCCCAGAACGGCAGGCAGGCAGGCAGGCAGGCAGGCAGAGCTGGGAAGGTCAGATGGAGGACAAGCCTTGTGTACACGCAAATGGATGGGAGGACGTGAGTGGGCGAAGAGCAAGAGGAACTGGCATGTAGGATTTGGGTGAAATGAATTTGGTGGAAAAGTACCAAGTGAAGACTGGGACAGAAGAGAGGAAATAGAAACGCTGGCAACAGGCACAGTCGGGGAGATGGCAGCTTAAGGCAGCTTTGGTTGAGAGTCATGGCGGTGGCGGGGGAAGGAAAGGGAGCAGAGACAAAGAACATGTCCTGGGAACTGTACAGACCAACTGGGAGGTTGCAGGTGGCAAAGGCAGGGAGAGCTGCACCTCAGGACCGAATTACAGGTGAGGCGGCCAATGGCACGTGTGTCAGCAGTGGGAGGCTTGAGGGGGAAGAGGGATAATGTAGAAACACTTGAGCATCTCCATGGATGGTGGTTAACTAAGCTGTGTGCAAGCATGGCCAATGCGCCAAAGTCACCCCGAAGCCGTCACAGCAGATCACAGTCTCGCTGTCTCAGAAACACAATTACTTTGGCTCGACTGTTAGTCCGATCAATCTGCTCCATTGTTTCTCACTTATGCCATGCACACATCATATTTACCCATGGGGCATAGCAGAAGCAGTAGCTAAACATTTAGTCATAACGGGATATGAATACAGAACGCTTCATGTTCTACCCCATCATCTCTAGCCTTTCACATTAAATGCAATTTTACCTGTAAAATGCCTATCACTGCTTTGAAGTAACCCACATGGAAACAGGGCAACTCCAGGTCAATGTAGCCATAATGCCCCAAACACTCTGCCAAATTCTTCCCACAAGTTTCGCACGGACGGTCTTTTTCACTTGTACCCTAGGGAGTAAAGATACATAAAACTATCAAAAAGTTGGGAAGAAGTAAAAGTTTGTCAGGGTGCTTTTCAGTATATTTTAAGTAGCACACCACTGCGTATAAAAAAGTCACAAGCATGGAAAACTTGGACCCGTGTATCTTTGTATGCCCCAGGTTCTCAACAGAATAGCGATAATCCCAGAATTCAGTGGAACCCTCATGGAAGCATTCTGCAGTTTAAAACATGGTAACAAACTTACCAAGTAAAGCAAAAGGAAGTTCCTAAAAACCAGAAAACTACTTAGCACTGCACTTGGATTGGAGAACACCACCTGGTTAATCTAGAGAGATGGCATGGAATATTCATGAACATTCATGCTTAGAAGCCAAACCTATCAGGCACTAAGAACCTCATCACTGCCAAAACACAGCTTGGCTTAGAGCAGAGGTGGCAATCATGCCCACGGGTGCCTCATGCCTCCAATGTGCTGTCAGAACATCTACAGGACACAATGCAACCCCATTTCAAGCTGGAGAGGAAGGCTAACTGGGACTCATTTCTTCACATTTGCTGGAGGGTGATCGAACCTATGGGGAAGGGGGCTGGTGACCCTTATCACTACCACTTATTAACTGCCTTCTGATAACATTTTATACATTTCAGCTCTCATACCCAACAACAAATTTCCAAGTAAATGAGGAGGTGATCGAAGTGTGATCCATTTCCGTAAAAAAAAAAAAAAAAAAGCAGCAGACTTGGGACGAAGGATGTCTTTTAGCACAACATCTTCGAGTGAATCTTTCACCAGGGCAGACAAGAGAAAGAGGTGATGTTATGAGAAATGTGGGGATGGACAAAAAGAGACTGTTCCTTTTGGTCCACGAATATACCAAGCTGCTTTATTCTGGCAAATGACTAGTCCACCTAGCTCAGGATTCTCCACTCCAACTGACAGCAGCTTCCCCAAGGTCTCAGCTCAAGTATTTTCCAATCCTGTTATCCAAGATCCTTTTAAAATGATGAACTAAAGCCCTTCCTTATGCAAAGCATGCGGTCTAAGCTCTGGACCCTTCCATAGTCAAAGATGTAATGAATATGCATTTGAGTCAGTGGATCCACAGCTGAGCACATACTGGGTTTTGATTTCAAACCGACTGGTTTGTTCTGGACTTCCCTACAGATTCATTCCTTGGATTTTATTCTGACACATGTCGGGATACAATTTTGAAAAGAAAGCTCTTACCATTCGATGGTCCAGCACACCATACAACAGAGGAGAGTGAGTGTTATCTTGAGTGTAGAGATTTTTACTGACCACCTGGATGTGCGCCTGCTGCCTCATCTCTTCAGGAGATTTCATCCCAAAGCAGATGTGGCTTCTAGAACAAACGAAGAAACACCACAGAACACAGTAAAATCGGCTTGCCTTGCTGCCTATTTTGAACTCTGAGCAACAGCACCAAGAAGTCATCACGCCAAACTTCTGCACTTTACCTTGCAGCTGTCTAGGCACGATTCGGAATGCTTGTCCTAACCTATAAGGCTTGAATGGCATGGCCCCAACAGAGCTCACCGCAGATTTTAATATTGGTCAAGAGTTCTCCCTTCATGCATGCATTTCCTGATGTGATATGCACCCCACGATTCTGGCAAGAAAAATGGCATTCAAGGAGGTACCACAGGAAGCATTATGTGGGTGTTTCTCACTTATCGTGATGTGTCTGAAAATGCACTGATGATGCACATTCTTTCCCTTGTTTTGTACATATATTCTCTCCCTGAGCAGGAACAAACCCTTTGGTACAAAACAAGAATACTCGTGCTACACTCTCCTTGAGTTTGATCTTGAACTGCTCTACTAACTGTAGGATGAGGCAAGAAAAAACTTTTCCCCTGGACTAGCAGGGACAGCCTACTTCAAGTTATCTATTTCATCTGTTGCCCTGTTGTTTTGTTGCAAACCATCCCAATATGCCAGTAGATGGATGATCTAGAAAAGCCTTACATAAAACAAACAAACAAACAAACATTACAATGTGGACAATGAAGGAAAATTCCTGGGATTAATGTTTATATTTTACAACATACAATTATGTCCCAGAATGTTCAATATCAGTGACCAGCAGGTATTGTTTAGCCACTGGACTACATTCTGATTTTTTCCAAGTGGCTACCAATACAAATACTTTCAGAACATGCACAATAGTAAGAAAACTGGCTGTGTAGCACTGACAGCTACTATTTACTCTCCAGTTTCAACAGTGAAATTCTGCGTATGTCTACTCTGACATAAACACCATTGTGTTCAGTGAGACCCGCAGGAATGTGTACACTGGAGTACACAATTTCCCCATCAAACCTCAAGAATTCATTGACAAACCACCGTGTAACTTTTAAAGAAAACATAGAGAGCTTGATTGAACCATTGACCGTCAATCTAGTTCCACACTAAGCTCATTGGCACTTATTTCCTACTTTGGTGTTCGTTGACCGTGAATATAAGTAAAAGTTTTACTGATTTGATTATTAATTATTTCTTTTCTGTAAACTCTCCTAGAGTGTTGAAAGATAGGAAGATAACTAGTCTTGGGGGATTTAATGCACAGGCTGTGTTTGTTTAAAATTTCCTTGGCAACTTTGTTCACTTTGTTTATTTTAGTTAGTTTATATCAGTTTATATCAGTTTTTTCTATTCTACATTTTCTTCTATTTATCTATATATGTTAAGAAAATAAAAAATAAAAAGTTGATTTCAAAGGAAGAAACTCTCACATGCTGATCTTCCCTGCCCCCACTACTGTTGGTTTAAGAATATCTTTATCAGTAAGGATACAAGGGATGCATGTACACATCTACGCAAAACAACAGTATTTATTCGTCTCTGGCTAGAGAGGGGCTCATGCAGCTCTTCTCATCCCCGCTGCTAACACGGGGTCTCCAGATGGCACACCCAGGGGATTCATGAGGTCTAGCACCTCTGCTTGGACTCGAGGAGCATCGTCCGCGCCTGCGCAGAACAGCGGGTCCCCCCCTGTCGATCACTCCCCGAGCCCCGCCCCCCGACGGTGCCGCCGCCGCCGCCGACTTACATCTTCTTGGCCACGTCCGTCTCGCGGAACTGCTCCTTCACCATGGCGGCGGGCAGCCCCTCGTCCGGCCGAGGCGAGCGGGGCAGCGAAAGCGGTCGGCGCCGGCGCTCCGCGGGCCCCCGTCACCCGGCGCTGCACGGCCGGCGATGACCGTCCACGGGACGCGAGCCGCGGCAGACGTCACCTTCGCTGCGCCCGTCGCTCCTCCTGCAACGCCACCGCGAGGGCTGGGGAGCCGGGGACGCCCGGGCCCTAGAGCTACGGCAGGAAAACAGATAGAGCGGTAGCATGCTTCTCCACGAGCCTCTGCGCCTGCTTTCCTAGGCACACTTCCGAAGGAAATAAGCCGCTGTGCTTCGGGGCTGGCACCGGGTGGATCCGCTGTCTGAAGCCGCTGTGACGCCGGGAACAGACCCACAGTCTGGGAGCTGTGGCCATGAAGTTACTGAAGATTCCTTGGCTACTCAGGAGTCAATCCTATTAAGTTGCACGAGATCCTGCATAGATGGCTTCATTTAGTGCACCACTCCGAACAAAAGGTAGCACTGGAGAGAGGAGCTCATGTCCTTCCTAAATACCACATGTGGATGTCTTTGGGACAACTCTTACATTTTAAAGCCCGGCCTATCAGCATACAAGTCAATGCAGAGAAAGACTCCTGCGGGCAGGGAAGCGTTGCATTTGGATTAGGAAAGGCTCCGAAGGGGCAGTTTAACATTCGCTGTCACCTCGACAGTGTTTTGCATGGCGGGTGATTGACCCCTCGTGCCCCTGTGACCCGTTGCATTTGCACTAGGCTCCGTGGCAGTTGCGTCGGAAGTGATTCCCTCTCTGCTACAGCCCCGCTCACACCTGCAGCATGGGTGGGGTGGGCCGCTTTGGCACAATATTAATTGTCCAGCAACGAGTGCTCCAAGCGCCGTCACATTCCACATAAAATAAATCTCCAATAAGAGCATTAATCCCTGTTTTTGCTTTCCATTCGTTTGGAAAGAAACTTACTCTTGCCCCATCACTAATGGGCGAAGATCTCGGATCTCAGTACAGTCTCCTATTCAAAGGGGTGGAACTGTTCTACAATTTTTATGCCTAAAAACTACGGGGATGTTGAAGTCACGGGATTCACTGGCAAGCAGCGCTTGGTCGTGAATTGTTCAACAGCCTTCCCCAACCTGGTGCCCTCCAGATATGATAGACTACAGCAAAGGAATGATGTCCTCCAGATGCGTCAAATGACAAATCACACCAGGGCCATGCTGGCTGGGGATGTTGGGAGTTGGCCCGGCACACCAGGAGGGCTCCAAGCTCCGAGGGGCTTCTATCCGGACTGCAGAAGAATTTGAACTTCGAAGCAAAGCAACCGAGCAGCGGACTCACTGCAGTACCGCCTCCGCTCACCCGGGGGCGACGAAGCGGCCTCTCTGGTCATTCCTTCCCCCTCGTTGATTTCCGGCGAGGTTGTCCCGCCTCCGCGCTGAGGCTCCGCCCCCTTTCCTCCGCGTGCCACTATATGATTGGTTGCGGGGATCCCCTTCCTCCTTTTCTCTTTCCTCGGCTGCTGGAGAGGCCGCCAAGATGGTGAGTTCGTGCGTGCACCGCTCCGGAGGCGCCTTCAATCCGTCGCGGCCCGGGACCATCCTTCGCCCCGCGGTCCCCGGGGGGCCGGGGCTTGCGTCGGCTGCTGCCCCCGGTGGACTTAGGCCAGCTATTGCGCGGACGGGGGAGAGTTTAACGACGCCGGCCCCGTCTCTCCGGCGCCCGGATCCCTCGCCCGCAGGAGAGCGGCTCTCTCGGGCCTGGCCTTCCTCGGCGCTGGAAGGGAGTCCCGCTCTGTGCTGGACCCGGGCGGATCAGGCGCGTCCCGAGGCGCAGGGCAGCCCCGCCTGTTCCCTTGAGCCTCGGCACTAGCTCGCCCCGGGAGACGGGGGCTTTGCGGGGCCCCGGGGAAGCCTGCGCGGCTCCGGGCCTTGGCGGGCTGCTCCCCGCCGTTAGTCACGGGGCTTGGCGTCTTGCATTTGCTTTCAGAACGACACGGTGACCATCCGGACGAGGAAATTCATGACGAACAGGTTGCTGCAACGCAAGCAGATGGTAAGCCTGGGCTACGGGTGCTTGAAGGCGGTCCAGTTCCTAGGATGCGGGGGGGAGGGGTGCTCATCTTCACTCCCCGTGGATTGTTTTCTGAGATGCAGCAACTCAGTCGGCAGAAGATTTTAGGATGTTTCCTGCTTAAGCTCTGTGGGTCAGCAATGGAAGCTCGCTTAGGTTTAAAGTATTCTGGGCTCACAAATCAGAATAGAACTATCCAAACTTGGGAACTATCCAAACTTCCTTAATATCTGCAGTATAACTTGATTCTGCTGCTGTTAAATGCTTAGTAGTAAAAATCCTTGCTTATTTCATGTAGGTTTATAAGAAGATTCAGAGTTCCTTCTATCATTCTCCATAATATTAAATGTATTTTACCTTTAATTTTGCTGGGTCAGTTACTTAAGAAAGGTCTGAGTTTATATTGGGAAGGGGTGCTTTGGAGATGACTAAAATGCAGCACTGGAAGTAGTGGGTGCCTTCCCCGAAAGTTAATTCCATAATTTTTGGCATAACATATTATGGTATTCTTAGGAGGTTGTGCTATGCAGTTCTAGACAGCTGAATTGCAATGTTGTGATGTTTAAGGTACTATCCATCTGTAGAAGAGAGCTATTGAAAACTTACTGCTTGATCATTCTTCACAGAGTTGATGTCAGTTTATTGATTTATGGATTAAATTTGTACAAAGGTTTGTTCTAGTGATCTTGTCATACAGACTAGTTAGAACAGGAGTGCACAACTTCCAGATATTTTGGCCTGGGAGTTGCATTAGTTTTAGCTAGTATAGGTAGTGGCAAAGGCTGATGCCACCCTCTAGCTCTTTTTGGTTACAAGTCACAAGCAGAAATGCAGGGTTTGCTGGCTTTTGGCTGCCTGTATGTTTCCACTGAGTTATGTTTCCACGGGCACTATGCTATTAGATTGTGCTTTGAGATGCTTGAACCCAGAACTGGACTTTGGAGGGAGGGAGTAACCTTGACTTGTAAAATGTTACAATGTGGATTGTTCCTCCCTGGCAAATGCAATTCTGGGTGGAACAGTTGTTTAGCTTCGCCAGGTTACCATGAGATGGCGAAAACATTTATTTATTTATTAATTAAAACATTTCTATGCTGCCCCTTGCCGAAGCCTTGGGGCGGCTCACAACATAAAACATGTATGCTCCCACCTCATTCTCTGGAACTGTCTAAGAAACTGCACGGGCCAAACCAGGTCATTAGGTTTTAATTGGTGATGGCTGCAAACTTTCTTTCTGGAAGCACCTTATGTGGCAGGAGGGGGAAATGGGAGCATTATGTTTGTGTGGGGACTTAACCTAGAGGTCACAGCATAACTTTAGTCCATGAGGCAACTTGTTTGAAACTGCCTGTGTGCTTACCATTTTCGTTTCATTTTTACAATACCAAGAGCACTTTAAAATGCTTGATAATTTGCCAACCCTGTGTTTCCAGGTGATTGATGTTCTTCATCCTGGAAAGGCCACCGTCCCCAAAACAGAAATCCGTGAAAAGCTGGCCAAAATGTACAAGACGACCCCAGATGTCATTTTCGTCTTTGGCTTCAGAACCCATTTTGGTGGAGGCAAAACCACAGGCTTCGGCATGATCTACGATTCCTTGGATTATGCAAAGAAGAATGAACCAAAGCATAGACTGGCCAGGGTAGGCTGCCTGAACTTCTTGTCAGACTAAAGCTTTCTTGCTATTGTTGCTGCTTCTCAAAGCTTCAGAGTATTGTGAAAGGATTTTGAAGGTTCTCGAAAGATTCACTCATTCCTGCCTGAATTTGACAGTGAAACTACTGATCCTTAAAGCCATTAAGCAGATTGATGCTTGAACATGTTTATATTAATCCAGCCATTCACTTAGGGGAGCTAAAGGCAGATGCATCTTTCTCTTGCATTTTTTGCAATACCCCACAGTGTAAATCAAGCTGATGCAGTTGTTGGTTGGGGATTTGAACCCAGTTCCTACTGTCCTAGTGATTCTAAAACCATTATTCCACATTAGCTCATGTGTCCCATTTTGTGTGAAATGGGATAATTCTGTGTACGCACTCTGAGTTCAAGGGGTGATGGGTTGCTTGTGCATGTCATACATTAATTAAAAGAAGTTCTGTTTTGCACAGTTACTGTTAGGTAGAGAGATCAAAGGCATTTTACAGAATTAAAATGCTTTTCCATCAGCTTCAGCTAATCCATCAGCTGCGTCCCTATCTGGAGGACCACCGCCTAGCGATAGTGACGCATGCATTGGTTCCTTCCTGATTGGACTTATGTAACTTGCTCTGTGTGGGGCTGCCCTTGAAGACAGTCTGGATACTTCAATTGGTGCAAAATAGAGCTGCCAGGCTGCTGACGGGGACTGGGCGTTGTTCTCATATAACCCCAGTCCTGTTCCAGCTTCACTGGCTTCCCATCGAAGTCCGGGCTCAATTCAAGGTGTTGGTAGTCACCTATAAAGCCCTTAATGGCTTGGGACCTGGATACCTAAAGGAACGCCTGCATCCATATTTGCCCTCCCGCCCCTTGAGATCGGCAGCAGAGGCTCTCCTTGGGGAACCTTCCGTGAGAGATATCAGAAAGCAAAGTACGCAGAGGAGGGCCTTCTCTGCAGTGGCGCCCCATCTGTGGGATGCGCTCCCCAGAGAGGTCCGCCTGGTGCTGTCGTTTTGTTTTTCAGCGCCAGGCCAAGACCTTTTTATTCAAACAATATTTTAATCATGTTTAATATTTATAGGTTTTAATTGTGCAGCCAGTGTTTCTGGGTTTTAATTGTACTGATTTGTTGTTTTGTATTTTTGTGAGCCGTCCCGAGGCTATATAGCAAGGGGATGGCATATAAAAACTTTAATCAATCAATCGATGTGGGTGTGCATTTCTGTTCTCAATTAGTTGCTAATCTTGTGCATTTTGGCATACTAACTTTGCTTCTTGTGCACTAGCATGGTTTGTACGAAAAGAAAAAGACCTCAAGGAAACAGCGCAAAGAGCGTAAGAATAGGATGAAGAAGGTCAGAGGAACTGCTAAAGCAAATGTTGGGGCTGGTAAGAAGGTAAGCAGGTTATTGATTTTATTTGACTTTGTTAGATAAACGTGACCCTTACAATTTCTGCTTACAGGGCGATGAGTATTTATTGTATAAATAAAGGAAACAAAAATAAGTCTCTTAATTTATTTATTTATTTATTTATTAAAACATTTTTATGCCGCCCCATTCGCCGAAGCCTTGGGGCGGCTCACATCAATAAATTAAAATAATTATAATATAAATTAAAATATAAATATAAAATTAAAATTAAAATACAGCAACACAGTATAAAATAAGTATAAAATTAATGCTCGGATGCAGATCACAGCTGCAACTGTATTAGATGTTTCATTGGCAAAATAACCTTTCTTTTTCTTTCAACTTCCAACTTTTCCTTCTGGATCACAGAAGGTAATTCTGAGATGCTCTGTAGTTTTTAGCTCTTCAAGTAGTTCAGTTTTGTGCACCTTGCTGCTACTGCCTAGATAATGTAACTGAAAAGAGGGAAAAGATGTGTTTTCCACACTCAGCTTCTAAAGATGACTTTAGTCTCTTTTTTTTCTCTTGCACTGCAACAGTTCTCCCCTTACCTTATCCTGCCCTGTTTATCTTTCAGATTTGTACATACTAATGATAATTAAGTTGATTTGAAAATGAATGTCCTTCAGTGAACTGTGTAACAGAAAAAGGCAGAATAGTGGAGTTAAAAATACTGAGTGGTTTCAAACTGAATGCAACCTTTCAATAACAGTACAGAATGCAGGCGTATTCTTAACATATGCATGGTTTAAAATGGGCTTTTAGGCACTTTAGTTCTTCTAGAAGTGGCATAGTGGGAACTTTGCATTCAATGTGTATGAAGTGCTTTTTCCTTTTGATTAGTAGTAACCTTTACTCTCACTTTTCCTTCCTACTTTCTGGGAATTCTTGTTGATCAGAAATGAAGTGTCTAGCAGGTACAGAGAATTAAGCATGGATGCGATTGCATGAACTGTGCATCACTTGCTTGACTTCCTAATGTGCTTGCAACTTCTGTGCTCTTGCTTTGGAAAGTATTTTTTTTTGGTGTACAATATGTTTCAAATATAAAAGGTTTTGTCATTGAATCAGACATGTTTTCCTGGGTGAGAATAATAACTAATGTTAAAAATGTATTTTCTTTATAAATGATACTTTAAAAATTAGTAAACTACATTTTGAGAACATAAGCACAGTTACAAATCTTAAACGTTTTGACATTTCTGTGTGATGTGTGACAACCTTTTTGAATATATAGGCAAGTTTTATACGGAAACCTAAACATACATCAAGGCAAATATAAACACATAACATTATTTCAAATAAGTGAAAAGTATCTGTAACAGACTGTTAGTGTTGCCTGTTGATTTGCCTGTTTAGAGTGTGCTTAATAGGTGTTGTCCTAAGGATTAATTCTTTTTCTCTTTACATTAGAAAGCCAAGGATCGTGTTTAGTTTACAAGAACAGTCCTCTTTTTTTTTTTCCTTGAGTTGCAAACAATTTGAGTGCTTAATCTTGGCAACCTGCTTCTCAAAACATGCCCTTCCCAAGCAGCTGTTACATTTTCTACCACCTGCATCTGGTTTGTTACCTTCAGAATTCCCGTTTGTCTTGACGCCTTTTCCTAACTCTTCTAAACTGTGCTGTACTACACCACAACTTAATACAGCTGCTACTGGAAGCCTTGTAACAAGATTGAAAGACTAGTTCTTGTGGATCTAAATGACGTTTCCTTTAGAAATAGGCAGTGATCAGATAGAACTAGGGAGGTGATCAGGCAGTTGGGTGGCTTAAATCAGTTTGATGTCTTTTGAAAACTACAGAGAAAATTGTCTGTGTGAAGATGTGCTGATATGCTTTTTTCTTCCTACAGTGAGCCAGCCAGTGGACTTAAAAGGTACAGGTGTCCTTAGACTCCCTTGTTCAGTAGCCTGCTTCCTGCATTCTGCTTTCTGACCAGGCAGCTGATGTGGCTTCCTCCTGTTTGTTTTCTTCACTTTTCCTTTTTTAATCTGTCTTTGGGCACATCCCAGTAACTAACAGATATCCTCAGCTCCAAGATTTCCTGCTTTGAGCTTGTTGTGAAGCTACAAACTATGTTTTAAAGTTCAAGAATTCCTCCAACCACTAATTTTAAAAGGTAAAACACATTTGTTGCATAAAGACTGAAATTATTTTCCCTTTCTTTACAGAAAAACTAAATTATCCAAGGAGAAAGTATATGAAGATAGTACTGATTATCTTGAACGTCTTCAAATAAATTTTATAAAAAACCACCATCTTTGGTTCTTTGAGTTGCCTGCTGAATTTGTAATTACTGCTTAGATTTGTACTAATTATCTGAAAAACAAAAGGCTTTATTTTTGCAATACTCTGATTGGGTGTGGGTGTGCTTTATATCCTGAGTAAGAATTTGGTGGGAGAGACGCTTTTGAATACATAATTTGGAACAGCCTTTGGGCTTTGTTTTTTTACTGCTCCACAAGGTTAGAAACATGCAACTGAAGATTTGGCATGCTAACAAAAACTAGAATACGAAAGTCATCCTCTAGGTGAACAAAGGTTTTTGATCCATCCTTAAACTGGATAGGTCACAATGCTTTAGCAGTGTATCTGGCAAAGTTGTCCTGTAGACCTATGTTTAGTTTATTCCAGACTATCTTGAACTCTTCCCCAGCACATACAGTACGGTCAGCTTGCTGTTCTTTCCAGTCCCTGCCTAATTTGTCCCATTTGCTTTGGTTGATGCTATCTTTTGACCAGCCACCCTGGCCTTCCCACCAGTAATGTGCATCCTTTGACCTACTCCGTTTATTTGAGATCCCACAATTCCACAAGATAGAAAGGAACAGTGGTTTTCCAGCTGTTTGAGGAAACCCTGGGGTCCTGTGGAAGCTTATCTAAGATTCTGTAGTGAGAGCAGCAGTGGAAGACACGGAATTATAATTTACTTTCCTGCCCTGGCCACAGCAACTGGTTTTACTGTAGAAGAGTGGGCAACACCATCTCAGCTGCATTCTTGGGTCCTGCCCGGGTGGTGGAGGACTGCTTCATGCTGCATGAACTGGCAGAGCATGCCCCAAACTAGTTGACAATGCACTGAGTTTCTGGCTGATAGGAGATGATCCGTTCAAAAGGGGGCAAAGGGTGATTCTCCAGATCATTTACGCAAGCTTCCAGAAATTTCTATCAGCACATCTTATGGTCCAGAATGCTAGGCAGTGCAGTGCAAAAGATCTCGGGATCTGCTTTCTGATCAGTCTTGCATGGTAAAGGTGAGACTTTGAAAGCCAAACATTAACAATGTGTTCTTAATTCTTGGAATAGTGATAACTTCAGCCGCACTAACAAGGCAGTCTTTTTTAGCAGCTGTTAGAAGTCTTTCTCTCAAACATCTTTTGAAATGGCTTTTCAGTTGATGGTTCTGATCTGGTAATGATGCCTTTGGGGGCTAATTAATGGGAAAATGGCAATTAGGTCTTCACACTGAAGTTTCCCAATGTGTTATCTCTGAAGTTTCTTTCACTTGTGCTAACAAATTAACTTTTGCATTGGGGTCGCTTTTTTGCTGAGGAGGAAATGGCAAAAAGGCTTAATTGCTTCTTTCTAGAAAAGACTACTTCTAGTTGACCTGTGTTCTATTTAATTTTGTTAAAGCTGACAAATCTTTCTGTGGGCATGTTCCTATAAATTGGGGGTACTGTGTACAGCTGCTGCCCCCAGTTTGGTTCCTGCTATCATGCTGATATTTGCAGTAATAGCAAAAAATGGGTAGCGCTTGTGTTTCATCTTTAAATACTTTAAAAAAAAAAACAACAGGAGAAAATATTTAAAAGCTTTATATTGTGTGTGTAACTGCAAAAGGTTGGGGGATCTAAACTGAAAGATCTGCATGGTTCTAATGAAGGCAAGTAGGCATAAAAATGTCTCTAAAATGCAAGGGCTGAAATACAGTAAAAGCAGCATTGCTATTTGAACTTTCTCTAGAGGCAGTGTGACATGGTGGTAGAAGCAAGTTTGCCAGTTGGGCTCCCTCGGGAAGGGGCAGTGACACTGGCTTCTGGAGTCCCTTCCAAAATAAATGGGGGTATTCTGACCCCTTCCCAGCTCCCTTGTTTGAATGTCGGAATGCCCTTCTGCACAACAATCAGTTTCTGGTGGCTGAGCATTTCAGGTGAAGGGGGGGGAGAGAGACGCACGCACGCAAACTAGCAAGGAGTCATTTTGTTGCCACCATTGTTGATTGGGGTTTGCAGCCCTTGCCAATCTATGGCAAAACTCACCAACCCTCTTCGTATTCTATCCAGCAATAGAAACCTTTATTCTCAAATAGAGGGGAGATGTTTTGAGAGCATTTGCAGCCACCTTCTCGAGGGCACTCGCTTGGTGGCCTTGCTTAGCCAATCAGCTGGGCGCTTGAGCTGCTTCTAGGAGAGAAGAGAGTCCTGTGGCTGTGGCACAAGGTTTGGGCAGGCGGAGAGCCCATGGCAGAGTGCTGGTGTGAAGGCATGCGGTTTTCCCCACACACACAACCCCGTGTTTGCTGTGCCTGGGTTGAGAGTGTGATTGGGCATTGGGCCTCCCTGTTACCAGTAGCCGGACCCTGAATTGCACCCTGCTGTGCCCACGTGGCTTTTCCTGTCCCTTTGTCACTGGGAGGGAGCACCGCGTTCTGAACGTCTTCCTGTGCGAGGTTTGCTCACCAAGACTGGAGCTTGTGACCCCCTTTAGCCGCTGGCTTCTGCCTTTCCAAGGAAAAAGCATGTAATCCATCCAGAACTAGATGGGCACCCTAGTCAGACCATCGGTCCCCGAGTCCTGCATTACAAATGGCAGTCTTCCATTGAAAGGGATCCTTGGAAGGCGTGTCCAGTTTAAGAATCAATCATGAAAAAAGAGCAGAATGCTTGGGCTTGCTCATCGGCAACCCCTGGACAGCATAGCCAGTGGGCAGCCTTGTCATCTGTCCAGTATCTGCTCTGCTATTTATCTTCCCAGTATGGCAATTCTTTCCAAATTGATTGCGGTCCTACATTTCTTGTTCTAGTGATGTGTTAATGACACTCTGATCTTGAATAAAGCAGTTTCTTACCCTCTCCTTTAACAAGAACCAAATAACCCAGCAACCAGCATTCCCTTAAAAATGAGTGTTAAGCAAAACGTGACCTTTTCAGGTTGGAAGTAACTTAAGCATGACACAGACTTATACAGTTACTGCACATCTCCTCTGCCTTCGGGTGGGTTCAGGAACCAAGGAGGATGGCACATTGGCATACTGCAAGCGCAACCAGAGAAATTATTCTCATAGGAACTTTGATCTAGCCATGGTGTAATGAATTGGGGGAGTATTGTTCTCCTGGCCCCAAATCTCCTCTGTTTAAAACCGGAGATCCTTTCTGCAGGTTAAAAACAATTTTGTTGACCTGACTGTAGAACTGGTGAAGTGAAGGTCAACTGGATTCTAATCTCAGCTCATCCCTTTAGAATGCTTTCAGGACTGACGCTAGCCCAAGTTGCAGGCTTAGTTCAAAGCATGTATTTTCAGCACTTTAGGGGAAAATATCTAGGAAGATCAAGTCATCAACCAACATTTATGTATCTCTATTTCCTCTTGGCTTTGAAAGCAGAGGTGTTCTTCAGCTACTGTGCGAGGGTGTGCACGTTTCAAAGCACAACCCCAATAAGTATCAGCCTTTCATAACCTGGATATTTTTTAACACGCGGTGTTTTGCAAGTTTCATGCTGTGATGATACCATGAGTAACCCCTTTTCCTGTGGGAGGTGAAGCAATTATGTGGACGGTATTGATGAATTGAAGGCTTTTAATGCGGTGCCTACCGTGTGCCAAAGACACCTTCGAGTCTCCTGCTGACCTTGCTACATCCGTCATCTGCAGAGCCTGAACAATCGCTGCTGGCTTCTTTGTTAAGCCCAGGC